TATATATATATATATATGTGCGGGTGGGGTAAACGCAGCTGCACCTTACCATTATGGACCATACATTCTTTGTGTCACTTGTAGGGGGAAAGACGTCGTTCGGGCCCAGCCTCGAAAAGTCCACAATGCCCTGAGACGTGACCTTTAAGTTGGCGAAGTCGTCGCTTTGTGATCCTTCACCTCCCTCTCCGTCTTCGTCGTCTGCCTTCGACTTCTTCTGCTTTCTCATTAGATATTCATATGCCGCAGCAATCTCGTGAAAGCGCTGCTGGCAGCTCGCGCCGCAGTTCGGGTAACGGTCAGGATGCCTGAGGAGTGTTCGCAGAGAAGCATGTGGTGCACAATGCCACTTCCAGAGTCGCCTTGTTGTGCTGCACCTGGATTTGATCCCCTCTCAATTGTCTAGCTCGCCTCCTGCCATTAAATTCAACATGCGATTCCCTATCTCCTGTTATGTGTTCTTGCGCATCGATTAGTCGTGAGGTACGTCCTTTGCTATATGCATGTGGAAGCCTGAGAAGCAACTGCTAACGCACCAGCGGACCGATAATGTCCTGTACGACCTTCTTATGTCGCTTTCCGACGCCCCATCGTCCAACCCCAACACACTCAAGTGTTGCAGCCGCTGCTCCCCACTGACGTCGCCGTCCATCCCGTAGTATTCCTCAAGCGCCTTGAGCACAAAGATGCCTAAGCACCAGCAAGAAGCACGCCACTCAAGTTGCATGCATGCGCATAGCCGAAGAGCAACCACGGGAGCTTATCCATAAAGATTTACGAGGCATCCGACACACGTTTACCTTTAGCACACATTTTGGCAAAGGCCCATATGCGCTTAGAAATGCAACTAGTATGAACATATTGCCGCAGCCTACCGACAATGCCAACCACGACTAAGAAGTACATCAGCCAGGAACGAAAATCTCCGCCTGAAAAAAAATCCAACAGTCCTGAGAAAGAAGAACCCCCCTTTGTCGCCTTCTTCTGCTTGTTGTGCCCGTCTCTGTTACTCCTATTGCGATCCTGCAGCCCCACCAGCGACAACACAGAAGACACAGCAACTGCAAATCAGGCGTTACAGCAGGTTAAACCATCAAGAATCCTTTCTCACTCTTCTGTGCGGCAGAGCATCTGTCTCTTCCTCGTGCCTCTCTCGTTCGTCCCGTAAGCGAACCACCGTGCACTGCTGTAGGTGTGCGGTCAATAACGGCATATAGTCTACATCTCCTGAGGAGCTGAAGACGCTAAAACAGTGGGCGCATGGATCTCACTTGCTGCTCTCTTTTTGCCTTCCTCCTTTCCTTCTCCTTTCTTATCCGCTCCTGGTCCGCCGCCGTATTTAACACCGGTCCTCCAGACCCCGACCTGCAGCATCCGAAGGAGGCACGTTAAACAGCACCAAACGAGCATCACCCCGCAATTACGCTTCACAAAGGGATACAAGCCCCAGGCTCGATTGTGGGACTGGCGGGGTGGGGCGCATACATGTGAGCGTCTGCTGCACCAAGTGCTCGCTGGAGATAGTCATCGCCTCCTCCTGTACGTCCGCACTAGGCATTTGCGGGTTTACTGCAAGACACAGACACGCATCTGTTGGCGCCTCTTTGAGGCGCCAACAGATGCGAATAGTGCAAGCTGGCCGGCTAGCTATTGCTCACCAAGTTTGGGCGTCTTCATCGTCGGAGATACCCAGTGCTGCAGCCTTTGAAAAGACAGTCCTTGTTTTCTGCCCCTTCTCATTTCGTGGATTTCTCCCGAAGCTTCCTTGGGTCTTTTGAGGAGTTATAGGTTCACCAGCCACTGAGACGGTATCGGGAACTGTTGTTGGCTGCTGCAGCTGTGGCTGACGCTGCTGGTCTCCAGGCTCTCCTGCTTCCCCTTCTCTTGACGCCCCCATCGTCCATGTCTTGCGCTTCCGCTGCTCCGTGACCATTGTGGAGGTCCCTTCTGCTTGAAGTGGCGTCCTAGGCAGCCGGCGGCCGCTGTAGCACACAAGCTCCTGTCGAGCCCCGTGAGGGCCCCCTGACGATGACGTTGGCGCGTTGTCTGTACTGAATAGAGAGGGAGAAGTTTCTGTTGATTTGGGTTGCACAGTTGGTCTGGAGAATTCTGCAGAGCTCTCAAATCTAAATCCCAGACAAACTCAGCCCACTCAGACAATCTGGGCCATGAGCGCGGGGGCCGAGGGACTGGATGATGGCAATCGGCCTACAAAAGGGAGAAATTTTGAACTAACTAAAGTCTGCAAGGTACGTTCCTGGTGTGTTATGCATGTTTACTTGCCAGCAGACTGTAATCAGACGAAGGTTTTGTCCCAGGGTCGCCGCCGAAGCCAGAAAAGCCTGAGGAAGAAACAGTTGAACCGACTGCGGTTTCCGTGGGTAGCGCCGCATAGACGGCGAAAGATCATCTCAAAGAAAGCGTTTCAAGCATCTATTTTTCTTGTTAAACCCTGCAGCCAAACTGCTAACCCTTGTATTCTGCTGCAGAGCAAACAACAGCAGGCTACGAGGGGTGCAAGAAGGGCTGCTGCTGACTACTCTCATCAGGAGACGCCTCACGTCTGTTCCTCTCGTACCGAAATCCCTGCTGCTCTCGGAAGTATTGCATTTCCTGTTTGAGATACTCTTTAGGTTTTGAGTGTTGTATCGTTCAACTGGAGAGTATTCGTTTTCTTTGGTCCCAGACAGCTTGGGGCCTGCGCCGAATCTTCCGCCCGCCCCCGAGAGAGTCTGGCTGCCTTTGCAGCTCCTCTGCTGTCTCACTGCCGCCCTTGAATGAGTGTATCGCTGAAGATTGGGGCTGTTGGATTGCTGCTTTCTCTTCATGGTCTCAGGGTGTTCCACCTCGTCCGTTGCTTGCAACCCTGGACAGTAGCCAACAGGAGTTGTTGTGTGGGACAGCAAGGACTGCAGCAAGTTGCAGCAGAATCCAAGTGCCATTGCCGCATACAAGAGGTCCAAAGCTATCATGGAGGACCTGCTGCAGCTACCGGAGCTGTCGTGGGAGGAAATACGGAAGCACACAGACACCCAGAGTTGCTGGTGTGTGTTTTACGGCCTTGTTTATGACCTGACTAAGTTTCTCAAGCAACACCCAGGAGGTCACCACGTTATTCTCGAAGTCGCAGGTATAGGCATGAATTACATGTCAATAATTCGCTTGCTTGCATCCTTTATAGGGTTCGTGAGTGTAGGAAGGAGGGCTGCTATCAGCTCGTTGCTGAAGTCTGGCATTGCTGTGACGCATATTGCCTACACGTAGTCGACATATCTCTCCCATAAGCGACTGCAGTTTTGGCTTCCCTTCAGCTGTTAAGGTTTGGAGGGAAGAGTCGGCTTACGGCAGCTTGTGCAGCAGTCTGGTCTGATTGTTCTCGTGACACTGCGTGCAGGTCAAGACGCAACTGAAACATTTGAAGATATCGGTCACACATTGGACGCTCGCGTGATGGCCGATGAATACATCATTGGCAGGGTTAAAGGAGAAACGAACCTGCGCAAATGCACGCCAACGAACGTGAAGGAGTACCGTTCTACGTCGGTACGTCTGTCGATTTTTGATTGCATAAACGAAGATTCGAAAACATGAAGCCAATTCTGAATGTGCCCGTAGCCGGAAGGCACTTCAACTCCTTGCGGCATTCCCTTGCAGTCGGATTTTTCCGCGTATCTGTGTAGTCTTCCACGGTTTATTTCGCTGCTCCGTATGTGTACTTGCGTGCTCGCAGGCGCACGGTACAGCGAAGGGAGCCGCGTCGACGAGTCTGATAGTGGTAATGATTGTTGTTGCCTTAATTGGAATCTGGGCATATTATCAGTTCCAAGATGACAACAGCACTCTCTACCAGCAGATCTCCACAACACCGCGGCGCGCAGCTGAGTGACTGCAGCAGTGCTGAAGTCCCTAGCAAGCGCATGCATATGACTTCTCCAAGCATGCTTCGAAATGCAATATGTGCAGTTCAGTAGGAAAAAACCCAAGTTTGTATCTAACCTTCTTTGCTTACAATAATCCGTTTGGCCGTCTTAAGTCTTCCGTTTTAAGCTGCCGTGTTCATGCGAATAGTTCAACCGCTACACCGCACAAAACTCACGAACTAACAAATTTAACCTGGAGGGGCAGACGTACTGCGTAAACACGACGTTTGAAGCTTTACAGCCGCAGCAGTGGAGAAGCTTTTCCACCATATCAGCCCGTAGTGAATAAGTTAGTGGGTGACGGGCTCACAAAGGACGCCCTTCGGTGCAACTCGTGGTACAAGAAGACAAGTATGCATGAGTAAGACCCGGGCTCCCTTCCGATGCAAGCACAAACCAGCAAAGAATTGGCTGGCCGTTCCTTGGGCCTAAGTAAACAGCCCACGTCCAATTGGTAATAGCACCTTTAGACTGGCCAGGGTACACATGATGGCGCAGTAGGAGAGTGGGGGGCTTATACCCACCTGGTTCATGCATCGAAACCATGCATTGCTACAAAGTGTAACACCAGTATTCAACCTATCCGAAGACTTGCGACCAGCAAAAACACCATACTGTGCATTCGTATGGAGTACCATACTTCCCTCCTCATGCACCATTAGCTCAGCGGCAAAATCTCCCTGATTTGCGGGAGGCAAGACGGCCTGCCATGAGTTGCAACAAACCTTCCTGCAACTCCAGATACCAGACAGCACCATGCGCATGCACCAGCTCGTCGTCTTGAGTCCTCTTAACTGCATGAACATTGTATGCCGCTCTTCACGACTCCTGTTTGTGTGCCAGTTGCCTACGAAGGCCCAATAAGGGTTCACAAGCCAACCTCACGCGGACTCGCTGACATCGGCCTTTGTCTAGGCCACATGACCGGCTTGTGTGCTTACGATGTCTACAGGCTCAAGGGTGGGTCAAGGGGGCTTCAAAATGCCCCTATCGAAATTTCGGTTCGACTGCAAATCGTGGCTGTCGTAGGCATAGGTCGAGGACCCTCTCACGTTGCAGGGGTAGTATACAGAGCAGGGCTGGAAGCGAATATTGCACGAGCCTGGGAAGGGGAAACTACTGGCCATCCGCTGTAGAAACAGATAACCTTTGGTTAGAGGTATTTGCTCACGAGTTGTAACGACTGCAGCGCCATCTTCCTTGACATGCTGAGCGGCTGCCATTCCCAACGCCGGCGTGCGTTAAAAAGGGAACAGAAGCCACTGCTTAGAGCACCACACGATCAGCTTTCTTCATCTTCAGAATACAAAAATACGACGGAAGAACTGTACAGTTTGAAACTCCACTTATGGGTTCGGTTCAGCAACCAAATTGCATCGAAGCCTGCCGCCGCGCGCCGAACTTGCATGCATGCTGTTTGTATGTCCACTCACGTTGGAGCCCCTGCCGTCCTTGGATCCCCGAATTTCTTTTATTTTAAGGATTATACTTTAGCATAATGGGCGCAGACTTGTTTGAGAAGAAGAGAAGGCGATAGCCCGAAGTGGAGAGAGCCGCCACTCTACGAGAGGACAGACAGGGAACATAATGCCCTGTCCGTTCGCTCCGTAGTTACCAACTTTCTGAATTCATCTTTCTTTAGCCTTTATCTGCAGGGTATTTCAGGTTCTCTCCAGGCGCATACGGCTCTCCATAGGGGCTTGGGGGGGGGAGGCTCCTCTTCTATCCCAACCCTCTGGGGGTTCTGTCGTGCTGCACGCAACATGCAGTAAAGCGGGGGGGCCTCTGCGCTGCAGCCTTTTCAACAGGGTAGTGTCTGCCTTCCCCGATGTCCTTCTTTATGTGGGTCCCCGCATGGTGAGTCCATACACCCAGCAGTTTCGTTTTTTTCTGTCTTAGCCACCCCTCTCCCCATTTCAGTCAGAAGGAGGGCGGCAGCGCAATGCCGTCTTCCGACATCAGCCGCGCCTCCAGCAGGCGCAGCGAGTCAACAGCTCGTCACCGATACAGCAGTAGAAGCCCCGAAAGCAGAAGTGCCAGAGACGGCAGCCACGGCGAAATCTCTCGCAAAGAAAGCAGAGACAGCTACCGTTCGAGTGGAGCCAGCCACTGCAGAGATGGAGATAGAAACAGATACACTAGTAGGGAACCAGATGAGGAGAGAGATTCTCGGGACCGCTCTCACTCAAGTCGAAAACCAGTTGGCCGCATGCGGGGATGGGGAGACAGCGACACCAGCAGCAGCAGCGGCACCAGCAGTAGTACTAGTAAGGCGACTTGCCGCAGTGGAGCGAAAATCAGTAGCCGGGTTTCTGAAAGGGAAAGGGAGTCAAGAGAAGACAATCGCCGCATCAGCAGCAGCAACCGCTCGCGCTCGCGGGACAGGAATTCACCAGGGCGGGCCCAAAGCCGCACCAGTACGAAGCAGCGCAGCAGAAGCAGTAGCAGGCATCGTGAGGATCTCAGCAGCAGCAGGAATCGTGAGGACCTAAGCACTTCCAAACATCGAGAAGATGATCGAACTAGACCTTTCTCCCGCACCGACAGCCGGCGAACCGACAGCACTAAAGCGCGCCATAGCCCTCCCCGCGACTCCACGAGCAGCAGCAACAACAGCAGCTCCAGAAGCAGCAGCAACTCTGGCAGTGGTAGCTCCAGCAGCAGCAGCTCCAGCAGCAGCAGCTCCAGCAGCAGCAGCTCCAGCAACCAAGTACGGCGCAGCGATAGAGGGGACTCGCGACGCAGGGACTCTCCTGCAGCTGAACGCCACGAGGAAGCTGGGGTCTCCCGTAGGGAACGTCCTCAGGGCGAACCGTCTGCAAAGGGGCAGCACCAGCAACAGCAACAGCGACCGAAGGAGCAGTCCACGGAAAGTAAGGCTCCTGCTTCACTCGGTGGTTTAAACGGCTTGGCGCCTGCAAAACGGAGCCTTTCACCCTCACATAGTAGTAGCAGCAGCAGCCTGAAGGACAACAGTGGCGCGGCTGCCTCAGCCCCGAAGGGGGGAGACGCAGCTCCTGGTCTGAAGCAAGAATCTGCTGCGGCAGGTGAGAGTAAGGGTAGCAGCAGTGACAAGACAAGCCGCCTCGAGAGGTTTAGAGCCCTTAAGAGGCAGAAACAACTGCCGGAAAAGGCGACTTCCAGTGGCGATGCCGCATCACAGAAAGATAGGGATACAGCATCAGCAGATAGCAGCAGCAGCAGTAGTGCATTCAAAGATTGGCTTCCCTCTACGCCGAACGTGAAGTTTGCCGTTGGCAGCTCCAGCAGCAACAAAATGGCAGCAACTGCCACCCCCAGCGCTGGGGCAACTGCTACGTCAGCAGCAGCAGCGGCTGCTGCTGTTGCTGCCGCTCAAGCTGTTGCTTCTGCAGCACTAGCTGCGGCGGGTCTTGCTTCCGCGTCTGCTGCTACTGTGTCAGCCGTGGGAGAACACGGGCTGCAAAAGCAGGCGACGGAAGGCGCCACAGAAATGTCTGCGAATGAGGGGCAAGGGCAACCGTCTCCGGCAGCAGCAGCAGCAGATTCCGGCAGTGCGCCAACCAGTCCTCCCCCTGGTGAAACTGATGGGGGAAGGGGAATGATGAAACCCCCCAAGCAGATGTCTCGCAACCGTCTAAAAAAGCACCAGCAGGCGCAGCTGCTGAGGCAGCTGCAGACCAAGACGGTGGGCGCGGCTCCAGAAACCCAAGGAGATGCAGATTTGCTGGATGCCTTCATGTCTGCACTTGAGGCAGAGGCGAAGGATGAGGTAGGGAGTATGTGTTGCTGCTGTGTTGCTGTTGTAGAAGCTGTGCGTTGCTGCTGTGCCTTTCGTTCTTGACCTGCCCTGCTGCTGCTTCCGCCCGTTGAAGGTTTGCTGTGAGCTTGTTGGCCTCATTTCCTGGTTCGCGTTGTTGTTTGAATGCCGATGTTGCTGTGACAGCTGAGCGCGGCGAAGGCTGAGGACACAGGAGAGGTGGAGGCTTTGGGGTGTATTTCCAGCCGCGACTCACAGCCACCGCGGCCCCAAAGCATTTCATTGGAAGAGATAAGCAGATGGCAAGAGGTTGAGGCTACATACCTTCCGCCGGGAGCGGTGGTAAAGCCAGCACCTCCTGCAACAGCAGGTGGGGCAGCTGGGGCATGTGCTGCTCCTACAACAGCTGCAGCTCCTGAGTCTGCAGAGAGGCTTGCTGACGGCACCAAGGTTGAACCAGCAGCGGAGGGGAGTGACTGCTCTTCTGCCGCTACCTTGCCGCCGACTTCAGACGTTTCCCGAGTCAAACGCGAGCCAACAGGAGGGGCAACAGACGTTCCTCCCGCAGGTGTTGCAGAACCAGCTTCTTCAGGGCCAGCGGCGACTGCAGTTGCAAGTTCAGGTGCAGCCCCTACTGCTGCTTCATCTGCTGGCGCAGCTCAAGGGGTCAAGGGTGAGGGTGGACAGTCACAAGAGACAGCAGCAGTAACGCCAACACAGCCAGAAACAGCGGCAGCAGACGAGGTTGACCCTGAGGATGCGAAATATCATGAACTGTTTCTGGAAACGCTGCGAAAGGGCCGCCTCAAGGGGCGTCCGGACTCAGGTAATAGTACCCATGGCAAGGGCAAGGGAACGGCTTCAGACGAAGACGAAGTCGAGGAGGAAGAAGTGATTATCTACTCTGATCACGAGGAAGAAGAGGAGGAAGCTGCTGCACAGGCAGCACAGGCAGCCCAAGCCGCTGCAGCGAAAGCAGAAGGTGCAGATTCAGGAAAAGGCAAGGACGACGACGACAACGGAACACAAGCCAAGGAGCAGCTTGCCAACCTATCTTACTTCGACCTTGTCAAAGTGAGCTGGATGGATAAGTGTGTGGGTAGCAAAGAGAGCTTTTCAAGGAGGAACAAGGTCCATTAGGAGTGTGAACACAGTTGCATTGCAGGGGAGATGCAGTTCCAGAGAGACGGCAGGGCCTGTGAAGTGCCGTTGTGCTCCTGTGGCGAGTGCAGCGCGTTGGACTCAAAAAGGAGCTTCCTCTTGTTGACCATGCGTCATGCAAGTTCCCTCCTATTAAGAAGAACCTTTATGTGCAGGTCAGCTCTGGGGCCTAGGCGACCTACCTTACTGTAGGCTGGTAGTGCTGTTACTTCATATTCTTGTAAGGGTCAGTGGGGGCCCTTTAGCATTTCTGGCTGTTTTAAGGCTCTCTCTTCGCCCGTAGGTACTGTTTGAAATCGGCTGTTGTTTGCCTACTCGTGACTGTGGCTGCTGGCCGCTTGGCCGCTTTCCGCTTGCCACTAGCCTGCTTGGGCCTTCCTGCTGCTTTTCCCTCCCCAACTGACCCAAGTATCTGTGGTGGACTCTCAGCAGGACACGTGACAGCGTACACGTTGGGCCAGATAACTGGGTATACATTCTCATTGTTCGTGTGATTCAGGTGAAGGAACTCACGGACTTGAAGGATCACGAAGTGGAGGCGATCCGGAAGACAAACGGAAACATCAAAGTGTGCAATGCTGTATACATTCATGGGCTCAACTAGCCAGCAAATAGATCTTCTTTTCAAACGGATAGGAACTAAAGCGTCTTCCTTTTACAGGACGATGATGCGGGGTGTTCAGCTTCATCAGCACAGAATGCAGCATGAAACCTGGACTTGCGTGATAGCCAGTCCTACTCTCAGCACAAGTGCCTCCAGCGTGGTAGACAGTAGCTGACGCTTGCTTGCTGTCGTTCTTCCCTTCGTCAGAGGCGGACGCTTGCCGTCCTTCTTCCTTTGTATCGTTGTGCTCCGTGTCTTTCGGTTGTTTTTCAGGTTCGCGGAAAACAGTGTCCGCGTCCTGTCAGTTCCTTTCATCAATGTGGATTGCCAGAAAAGATTCTTAGAGTACGTCTTTTTGCTCCCTTTGCTTTTATTCTTCTAGTGTAGTTTTGGTGTGCGTTGTAGCCGCTTCACAACTAACCTTAACTTGCTCATATGTTGTGTGCACAACACAAAAGGGGTATGCTCCTGTTCTGTTCGAAACATTGCCCCCAGAAGCTTAGTGGGATACATCGGGGAAAATAGGTAGATAAACTTTGGCAGGAGAGTCATGAGTGAGTGCTCGGGAACTATGCCTCTAATGTAACGCCTGCTTACTTTGTTGCTCTCTGCGGACTTCTTGTAGCACCTAGAAGCACGTGGGTTCGAGAAACCGTTTCCGGTTCAAAGCCAGTGTATTCCCATCTTGATGTGCGGGAGAGACCTCATCGCTGTGGCCGAGACAGGCAGCGGCAAGACCTTGGCCTACACGTTGCCTCTTGTGCGTCACGTGTTGAGCGTTAAAAGGCAATACAAAGAGTATCTGGCAAAGCAGAAAGAAGAGAAGCTGCTGCGTTTGCAGCAACAGGAGGAAAACCAGCAGCAGCAAGAAGGCAAGGAGGAAAAAGCTGACGCCGCGGCTGTCGCGACGGATAAGGCGCCAGATCCCAAGGCGAAACCGCGTGGGAAGCAACAAGCTGTAGATAATGAAGATAGGGACAGGTACCGGAGGAACGAAAAGGGTGAAAGGATGCTTATCTATGGAAACTTCAAGGAAGGGATGATCGGCCTGGTAGGATACCAGTTTCTGACACTCACCCCATCGCCAGCTCCTTGTTGAATTAGTCGCTGCGCGAAACTCCTGTGTTGCAGTCTCCTTACGCTGAAGCCGCCCAGTGTGGCAACTGTCACTTGTCTGTGTCACAAACCAAACAAGGGAATTTTGTCTGTTGCCGTGTGCGGCCTGGCGCAGGTCATTGCCCCAACTCGCGAATTGTCGCTTCAAATATCAAAGGAGGTTTCTCGCCTGTGCAAGTTGGTAGACTTGAATGTGGCTTCCCTCTATGGGGGTGCGGGCATCGGGGGGTGAGCATGCTGACAACGGCGGTTTTGTGGGTTTGCGTTTCCAATACGACGTCGGTTAGCCGGCCGTTGCGCCTCGTTAAGCTAGAGGTTAATTCGAGGATCCAGCGTGGCAAATTGTGTTCTTTTTGATTCTTTACAGTCTTGAAGGCCTTTGCAAATATGAAGGAGTACTGGGTGTAGTTCAGTTGCCGCTATGTAACTGCGAACGTTGTTTGGTTTAGACCACAGGTGTTCATAGCGTTGGAAAATATTATGATTGATTGATTAAACGTGTCATATGCTTTTTCAGCCAACTGGGGCAAGTACGGAGAGGGGTGGATGTCGTTGTAGGAACGCCTGGAAGGCTAATTGACGTGCTCACTCTCAACTCTTGCAAGTTCACAAGCCTCAAGGTATGCATGGGGGAACACGGTAATCGCAAAGACTGCTCCATGTTTGCGGACATTGACCACTGCAAACGGCAGTGCAGCTTATTGCATTTGTAGTAGCCATCTCGTTTTTTCCGTGGCATTTTCTCCACTGGGCTTCCATGGTTTGTATGTTGTTGCGGCTGTATTTTTCTGTCCTTGGCAAATCCGTTTGCCGCGCAGCGAGTGACGTTCGTGGTGCTTGACGAGGCCGACCGAATGTTTGATTACGGGTTCGAGCCCCAGATCTCTTCCATCCTAAGGAGCACTCGCCTCGACAGACAAACGTGTCTCTTTTCTGCAACGTTCCCTTCTCACATTGAATGTACGCTTGGGTACCTCACCCATGGGAGGGTAGTGCTTGGCAGCAGAGAATGAGAGGCATGGCAATTCAAGAAGTCGAATTGTCTCATTCATCGCTCATATTCGTGACAGTGTGGAAATGCCTACTGAGCCTACCCATCTCGAGTTCTTGTGAATGTTCCCAACGCAGCTCTGGCTCGACGCATCCTGTACAAGCCAATTGAGGTCGTCGTTGGTGAAAAGGGACGCACAGCTGCAAAGGTGCAGCAGTACGTTGAAGTAATGGATGAAGAGCGCAAGTTCTACAGGTGAGAAATACGTTGCGGAGCTTCCGACGGCGCGTTGGGAGTGGGGGTGTTTACAGTGCGACCTGTATCGCTTGAATCGTCTTAGATTTGGGGGGGAAGGCTTTCTCTTAGCTGAGACCCCTTGGCTTCAGACTTGTCGTTAGAAAGCGTTTTTGTTCGTATACCTTCCTGGTCTGCGCCATCTTCGTATTAATGTAGCTGCATTCAGCTAGGCATTTGGGTTAGTTTTCTGCTACTGGTTCTCCTTAGGCTACTGCAGCTTCTTGGAGACTGGCAAGACTATGGATCAATCATTATCTTCGTAAACAAGCAGATAGAAGCTGATGAGCTGTTTGCTGAACTGTTAAAGGTCAGCTATCCCCGACGATTCAGCTCCTCCACACTGAATAGGCAGTTTCCCTTGTGTAATTGGACACTGTTGCTCAATTGTCTGCACTTTTGTGTTCTCCAGCTTGACGCATCGCTGTCTGTCGTTGTGCCATTGTCTCATTGATGTAGTATGGCTATCAGGCACTTGTGCTTCATGGGGGCCAAGACCAGACAGACCGGGAGTTTACAATACAGGAGTTTAAAGTACGTGGTTGTAGCTTGGTCGCAAATTACTGTTACCGCATCGAAGGCATTGAGCGTCTCAGGATGTCTTACTCTACATTGTTTCCGTGTTGCTCTCCTCCAGGATGGCACCAAGACTCTGTTGATTGCGACGAGTGTAGCAGCACGTGGGCTCGATGTCCCGTCGGTTGTCCTTGTTATCAACTTTTGCTGTCCTTCACACATCGAAGATTACGTCCACCGTATCGGAAGGACAGGGCGAGCAGGGAACATTGGGGTTGCATACACGTTCATAACCCCTCAAGAAGCAGACAAGGCAGAAGAGCTTGAAGGGGTGCGAATGTGTCCTGGCCTAGAGTTGCCACTACAGCCCTGCAGTAGTTAGATGTGTAGCACTTCTAGCTATGACAATACGGGTGTTACGCGTTTTCCTTCCAGAGCAACTTGCATCATGAGAACGGGACTGTAGCCATTATGTTGCAACCTCGCAGACCGCTGTGCGCCGAGACATATGCTTATTATATGCACAAAGAGCGGTATGTATGTCCCATCGCACTCCTCTGTGTTTGCTGTTGTTTGACCTCCTCACCGGTGCAGGCATTAATCCAATCTGGCCAGACTGTCCCGCCGGCTTTGGCGGCGCTGAGTTCCGAGTTCCGTGTTCAGTGTAACATGGGGTTAGCGCAGAAGACCAAACGAGGCGGTTTTGGGGGAAAGGGATTTACATTTTCCATTACGGAAAAGAGTCGCCAACAGCAACAGATGCAACAAGCCAAGAAGGAACTGTCTGGGGCCAATGACTTCGATGAAGTTGAGGAAGTTGAACTGCTGCTTCAGAGAGATGACTTCTCGCCCCCAACGACTAATAATAATTCCCAGCTGGCGCTCACCAACACCATGTCAACAATGGATGCAGCAATGGCAGCGGCTGCAGCAGCAGCGGCAGCAAGAGGTGGCGGAGCCGGAGCGACGTCAGGCTCACTGCAGTCCGCAGTGGAGGCTGCCGCTGCGAAGGCGGCCTTGTTGGTAAAGCATCAGCTGGCTGGAGGTGACAACATCACCCAGCCGACGAGTTCGACAGAAGGTGTGGCGCGTGTCAAGCTCATTGCAAAAATACTCAAGTTGCAGGATGCTGAACTTGCGAAGCGACCACCATCCACCCCGCCGGCTCCGCCAGAAGGGCTACCACCACCTGGAAGCGAGAAGACCAAATTGACTGCAGATCAACAGGTACCGTATACCAACACAACGCTAGGTGCCACCGCATCTTGCAAATTGAATGTGTCTGTGCACGTGAAGAGCAGCATGCAGCTAGATCATTTTAATATTTTTTATGTACGTATCAATGGCGCGTTTGATGCTGTGCATCACGGGACTATGGGCACTTGCTGGGTGAGGCCGCGGAGGTCCTTTCATCGTACCGACATGCGTGGAGGTGGTGCGTGGTGAGCGTGCGACTACGTGAAGATGCCGGGTGGTCTTTTGATGGATGATTAGGGTGCTCTTTAGCATAGAGAAGATGCCGGCGGTGTTTCGTGCTTTTTCTTCTTGGAAGTGGTGTTGTGGCTCTGCTTGTGGCTACAATCACCTCGTAGTGCAAATGGGGGAGTACTCGCTGGGGCGAGCCCTTTCCTTTCAGACATTGTTGCCTGATTATCGAGAGCATTCTTTTCTCCTGGTTTCGCGTGATTGTGTGTTTGCAGGTGGACTTCATGCTACAACAGGCCCTAAAAGGACTTCCGGAGGCAGATCAAGCACAATACAAGGACAAGTTGCGTGAAGCGTACAAGAAACATTTGTCACCTCGTCCTAAAGTTCAGCAGAAAGCAGCGCCGGGCATGCAGCTAGCTTTGGCTAGTTCCGTTACAGGCCAGGCGCTGCCAAAAGACAAGGATCCTTTCATGGACGCGGCAGCGGAGGCGTTAGCTATTCTCAAGCAGGGCACAACCGCAAGCTCAAATCAACTCCAAGCAGCTCTTGACAAGATTAAGGCATTTAACGTGAGGACCTAGTTTAGCGAAGGACCTTCGCTGCGTAACCTTGCCTCCGCTTTGCAGTGCAAGGAGCTGTTGTAGCTGTCGAGTGAATCGTTATTGCTGAGTGATTGTGCAGTGTTCTTGCTGGAACAGAATTTCGAATATCTTGTTCTAAACCGCAGTACTCTTTGAATGTTCATGTGATGCGGGTGCAGGATTCAGCTGAGCTAGCGGCTGCGATCAGTAGCGTCTCGGCGCCTTCGAATCCCACTCTTGGCAAGGTGCCTGGGCTTTCTGACAGGGGATTCGTCTGTCCGGAGACAGGAAATTTTGTTGACGAACTTGAAATTAATGACTACCCGCAGGTGGCGCGGTACAAAATCACCCAGAAGGTGAGCCACACAGATCAGAGAGACTGTGTTTCTCACTGAGGGATGCGAAACTATTTTTTTAATGGGCTCCGTAGATATAACGTCCGCAGTTGCATGGCAGCCCCTCCGGGACTCCTCGCTAGTCGAGGTGTGCTGTGATACATCTGAGTGAATAATGATTAACGTATGAAAGCACATTAATGGAGTTGGCAATTCCATCATTTTTACTCGTACTTCGCAGGAATTGATGTCGCGCATCATGGAAGAGACCGGGGCTGTGTTATATGTAAAAGGTCAGCATGTGGAACCGGCGCTGAAACATCGTACGCAGCTTGCACCGGGCGTGAAATTCTTACATGTGGAAATCATTGCCCCGACGCCGATTCAAGTTCAGAGAGCCAGGTAAGTTTAAGTCTTTCCGTTGGACGTCACCGTTTCAACACTCGTTGTGCTGGAGCCTGTCGACCGCCTCTTGATGGTTAAACATCAATGTTGCATTCGAGGTAACCTCCATTCTCAGGCATGTTCTGGTGGCTGGTGTGGGGCTGTGGTGCAGGCATGCAGTGTACGAGCTGGTGGAGTCTATTGCGCTGAAGTCACTGAATCTGAATAGCAGCCAGCGCCAAGCGATGGGGCGGTATTCCGTTGTGTAGCAACCTTGTCTGCGCTCTGGCCGTGCAGTACGGTTGTGTTCCTAGGCCATCGCATTGGGCTTTCTTTAATGGACTGCGTAGGCAGTTAACGGCTGCAGCTGGGAAAGATCAGCTCTCGAAGTGAACCTAGAGAAGAGGCAAACAAATGAGCAGTGTAGCAGTTCTTCTCATGATCATTGCGCCTCCTTCCGTAGGAAGGGCGGCGTACACTTCGCCGCACAGTTGCATTGGGAGCAGATAAACGCAGCATGCTTCTTAGCTTTCACTTACTTGTATTTACATGGGGACAAAAAGCTATTGAAAATCTGGGAAGGCTCGAAAAGCTAACAAAGAACGCTCTCGTGGCGGCAGACGCCTAGGCGCTGTAGCATCGTCTTCGAGGTGTTAAGTGACACACGAAAGGAGTTTGCTAGAGCTAACGACTGTAACCTTCAGAAACATAACGAGAAACGAGTAGTCCGAGCTTATGGTGAAGCTGGCTTAGAAATATCAAGCCTTATATGGCTGGCACCCAGCATTGAGGCCCGTGTCGTCGTCTGTCGCGGAATGGGGGCGTATTGCAGTATTAGAGGATGCAAGCAACTTGCTGTCAGCAAGCCATTAGAATGCATAGGGGTTGATCCAAGGATGGAAACAATTGACCATCTCATTGACACTATATGAGGTTGGTTGAGGTCAGGGGAGCACCATTCGGCAAAAGGTGGTCCACAAATCAACTTTCTTTCTGACATGTGTGTTGATCCATTCGCTGAGCAAGCACAGGCTGGATCGGGTTGAAGTTCGCTCTCCTGTTCTTCACACGAATTTCTGTTATGATGTTGCATATCCAACCAACAACGGCGCCAACAACCCTATCCCGTTTTTCCTCTACTTGGCGCCCGCAGGGCGGCTCTACACAGAAGATTCCCTTACGAGCATAGGGAGCTCAGTAATTTTATCAGGACTCATTTGTTCGGTTTCATATGAGTTCTTGTGTTTCCAATAAGCAGGCTTCGAGAGTAATCGTGGATGGCTTTACCCACACTGGGAAAGGGTTGTTTCGCTTCAAAGGCGCCCAAGCACGAAACCGCATTCAATAGAGGTGGTCTTTTGCATCATATAACAGAGTATGGATTATTCTGTAGAAACATTGAGTAATGGACTACGCTTCCGAAACCTCGGAAGCCACCAAGGCCTCAGACAAGCGCGAAGCCTTCTGAGGTCACTTCTAGTATGGCATGCAGTCAGCCGCGCATCCAGCAGTTCCTCTGTTCCTCTAAAAAATTATGTTCGCATGCTCACTGCAAATTGATAAGAAGAATATGATAATAACAAGCTAAGAATCATCTGTCCCGCGGCCTCGTCCTTTTGAGACTCTTGTTCTCCGGTGTAGATTATGGTTGGTGGGCCTAGTTCGCCTCATGGGTCCACTATACACATTTGCAGTAAAGGCAACTTATCAATTTTAATGTGAAAAACTGCTTGCATAATCCTAGATATCCCCCCCAGGAAGGATCCATGCTAACCATCCTCCACGCAGCATGTGGTCATGAACAAATCCACGAGTGGTGCGGAAATCAGCCAGTTGTACCCTGTATGCGCGCACCCTTTTAAGCATGATCCAGTAGAAGGAAATATCCAGGGAAACGTCTGGTTTGCTTGACGGCGTGACCCTTACGGCCTATGCCCTGGCCATTGTGCTTACATCTTCGATCACTGTGCTACGTTCCGCGTAAACGTAGCTGCAGTGGTCTCCGCACAAATAACTGAGCAGGGATTGGCTATTGAGGATTTTGGGTGGATTTGGTAATTCTTTTGGCAGCATCGAACGAAAGTATGCGAGTCTATTTCACAACACGTCATTTGGTGATGTTTTAGGTTTGCTTGATTAAAGTAACAGAACGAAAGACATCTGGCTCTTTTCTCCCCATACCCATGGCATTGTAGAACATTTCTGCTACTCTGCTGAAGGTGGAATCTAGCCTACACCGGTTCCTTACCCATGAGTGCTGGGTGGGGAAGCGGATTTTCACCCCGTGATCACGTAATACCCGGCCAAAATGTAGCACTAGAAGCCGCTGAGGCCCTGAGCAACCGTAGCAACAATGCTTTGGACACTTGGGGCTCTCACCCCTCGCGAGTGGGCGACGGTGGCGAGCAGCCCGGGTGGGTCTCCGAAATCAAAAGAGAGCCTCGGAGGAGTTGCATTGTCTCAACTGGATCTCCCAGGAAAGCGGGGTCTCAGCATGTTCAGATTGGCTTTGGAGAAGATCTAGGCTCCAAGAGTGGGGAATCGAGGAGATCAAGTATACCCGAGTGCTTTCAGGCCACCATGAATCGGGCCATGTCGCATGTGAAGTTTGCGAGGGGGCGCTCACGTCGTTCTACATTCCCGCGGGACTCCGTGCTTGCATCTATTCCAACTTTTGATATAAGAGAACGTATGACGCCTGGAACAGCACGGGAGCTGAGACGTATTTATCAGCTGGAAGAGCCGGTGGACGAAGCTGTTTGGTCCTACCTCTCTTGGGTTGCAAGGAGTGAGGGGGTAGCCATGTGTGTTATTGCCCTATGGACTATTTGGTTCTCGGCTTTTTTTGTAGCGTTCTGCCGTGCGTATCCCTTCTCGCAGACGCTGCTGTACATAGACGTGGTTCTTGACTTAATTTACTTAGTCGGCGTTGGCTTGGAATTAAACATTAGCGTTATAGACAGGGAGCGCAGGACGGAAATCCAACATAGGGAAACCATAATCGACCTTCACTTACGCTCGGTTACGTTCTACTTTGATATTTTGTCATGCCTCATATCGCCATTCATGTTTGGAGAGAGTCGACGTATGTTTGGCCCCTCATCTACAGCGAAAACCGCGAGCTAACTCTCATCTGGATAGGAAAAGTATAATTTTAGTAGGCAGTACACTCGGGCACTCGGGCACTCCATTACCGTGTGTTATTTTGGATGTTTGGATCATTGTGTACCTAGGTGAGAGCGCCATTTTATTGTTAATGCTGGCGAAATACGTCCGCTTGCACCGCACCATTTGGTGGCCGCCTTGCACCGATAGGATTCGCCGTGTGCCTTGGTTCCAAGTAATATGGCTTATTTTCATTCTTGTCACCGTCAACCATCTTGTTGGATGCGTATTTTTCATGGTTGTTGAAGCTCAAGACCTCTGGGAGCGCCATGTTGCGCTGCTTGACCGTCAGTTGCCACAATGCCCTCCAGGAGGGTGTAATCCCTCGTGCGGTTCTTCCCTGTTTGTGGCTTTGTCTTCATACATAACTCAAAACCAGGACTATAGTATGAACTGTTTCCTGCAGCCCCCGTTGACGAATATGCATTTAGCTACGCTTACGGCATCAACTTTATACACGGACAGATATCTAAAGCAGACATTTTATCGCCCGAAGAGCTCATATTGGTGAGCGGTTCAGCTTTGTTTTATACTCCCTAGTCCCTTGAGCGTACAGCCGTCGACAGGAGGCTCCTTTAGTACCATGAAGTAAGATAAACAATGTGCCAATGTGCTGCTGGCCCTTCTTCAGTATTGCATCGTCGCTCCCTTCGGCACCCTTATTTCTGCCATGGCCTTTGGGGAAATCACGGTTTTCTACCAACGGTTAAACCTTCTTGAGGGGCAGCACTCCGACGATATGGCCTTCTCGACTGAAGCCATGCGCATATTACGTGTCCCTGCAGAGATGCAAAAGCGAGTGGATCAATACTTCCGGTAGGTAGAATCGTTCAGAATATATGCGATTTCGATCAAGTACGATGTCTGTGGGCCTCTTTTAAACTGACTGGTAGCTTAGGCCGTAGCACCAATGAAGGCAGCAGCAAAACGTGCGCGTGTTTGTTTTGGCTTGCGCAGGTATGTCCACTCTAGCAGGGACACATTTGCTCTAACAAAGCTCATGAGTTCGTTAAATGAACCTTTGTTGGAGGAATTAAAACTGCATCTGTACAAGGGTCTCGTCAGCAAGGCGAATTTTTTCAAGGCATGTTATATTGCACCTAATAGTAGTGGAGCCTATTTCTGCCTGCAGAATGTGTGCCTGCTGACAAGTACACAGGCTTCCCTAGTACACCGCGATTTGCATGTTTGCAATGTGGATTCTGATTTTTCAGCACTGTGACCCGGAGTTTACTAAGCATGTCGTAATGAGACTTGAAGACAAGATCTACTCTCCAGGAGACTACATCATTCGCGCTGGGCAGGAAGGAGACTGCATGTTCTTTATTATAAAAGTATGTACTTCGTCCTCCACCTTTGACCATTCTCGGCTTCATTCTTTTCTGCGTGTAGCGGAGTGGCACAAGCTTTCCTGATGCGAAAAAGAGCTTGGGAAAACGCAATGAACTGTTGCTGATGTGGCGGCAAACAGCCTGTAGGTCCTTAATTTGCCTGTGCTTGCATCTTTCTTCTAGTGGACCCTATTGGCTAAAATCGTCGCGTTAATTCAAACCGAAGGTTGTCGTACTTTCCTGCGTGGTTCAGGGCTACGTAGAGGTTCTTTCCGCTGAAGGTGACGTCATCATGACTAAGTCTGGTGGAGATTACTTTGGAGAGCTTGCCCTCCTAACAGTAGGTGAGCTCTGGTACATTCGGAGTTGGCTGCCAAAAGTACGTTTTCCGATGTTACTACTTGAAGACGTACAACCTGCCTCTGCTTACATCTTTCTTATTCTTTCTCACGCTGTGCACTAGGCACCAAGCGATCGGCGACAGTGAAAGCAAAAACATTTACCGCATTGGCGCGGCTCTCCGCTGAGCACTTTGACGAAGTACTTGTTCGATTTCCTCACGAGTTAAGGAACGCATTTAGAGGCTTTGATTTGATGGCTGGAGAAGTAAGCAGACCTCGTCACCGAACAGCAGCTACCAAAGAATGGAAGAAAAACAACCCTGCCCCACGAGATAACATAAGAGAGCACATAGTGCTTATAGGCCATTTGGGATTGAGCATTTACTCTTCAAACACCTAAGGCTTCCACCGAAGTCAGCATGCAATAGTTCCGAAGACATGCTTGCTCCCTGTCAGTGTGTGCTTCCTGCGTAGGACCTTGACTCAGCTTTTGAGCAAGCACAAAGACGTATTCACTACCGATACAGGCTTATAAAAGGCCTCGATCCACCTGACTTGCCAGAAGAGCGAATCCAAGGGCAAGAATGATCCAATGCTTTTTCCTAATGTCCCCGGCGACGATACCCTCTGTGTACAGTTTGTATTCTCAGAAGAGCCGTTTAATGCAAGTGGTGGCGCATCCCTAAATACCTGCACTGCCATAGGTTTTGTAGTACCAGAAGAGATTCCAGTTGTTAGACTCGAATCGCTTGACCACGTCGACGCCACAGCAACGGAGCCGAACTCGAGGATTGTTGACGGTAGAGGTGATGCATTGGCCATTCGCACCTCCCGCCTCAGTAGATGTCCCATATTGCGCCAGACACAGCTTGTCGCCACCTTACCAGTAGCTATCTCACTAGAAATAAGGGTGGAGATGTTCTCGCAGGAGCTCCACTGGCTCTCTACCGATGGCTTTATGGCTTCCCAAGATGCTAGTTCTGCCTGTCCCCCCTGTAGCCTCCAACGAAACTCTTGACATGTTTATCTCTGTGAAAAGTAGCTTTTACTCCGCTCGCCCCTTTTGGGAAGACTAAGCCAGTTGGAGAGTTGGCAATCGTGTTTTGGTACTGCCATTAAGGCGGCACACCCAGCAGGCAATGGGTGTAGCAGGCTCAGTACACCAATCTAGTTCAATTAGGGGACACACGAGAAACTGTCTCCAGTTGGTCGGACACAACCCTTCATACTGATGTGTGAAGGTAAGTGCAAATTACCCTTCACATATTTTATTATCATGGCAAACTTCATTCCTGACCCAGGGCACCATTGCTGCGCTGCATAACCTCACATGTTGCGTTAAAACGTGCCAACTAACTGTGGGGCGCCAAAGAGCAAACGCCAGTTCCCTTAGGGGGCGAAATGCACGGTTCGAAGTGCACCTCCCTGTTGTAGGTATATGTATTATCAGGAAGCATAGTTTCCGGTTACGATTGCGAGGTAGGGCCTTCCAGCAACCAGCTTTTAGCATTGTCTCTGTGTGTCAACTATTTCCTGAACTTGTTCTAAATATGCCATAGATGTAGATTTTCGGGTATGGCTAACGCTTTCTCATCAATGCAACCTGCATTGTGAGCCTTCACTGGGGGCCACTGTTAGATCCCATGCGTGCTTCATTCTCTTACTGTTTAGGGGAACCTGGCTGTTGTAGCCATATAGAGAATTTTAAAGTATATATATTTGAGGTGAAAGGACCTTCCAGCAACCAGGCTTAGCATTGTGTTCGTCTGCCGACTATTTCCTGAACTTGTTCTAAAGATGCCAAAGCTGTAGATGTTCGGGTATGACTAACCCTTCCTCGTCAATACAACCTGCATTGTCAGCCTTCACTAGGTGCCACTACTAGCTCCAATGCGTTTTTCACTCTTTAACGGTTTACTGGGACCTGGTTGTTGTAGCCATACAGAGGATTTTGCAGTAAAGATATCTGAGGTGAATTTCTAGCTCGCAGTCTAGCTCCTTAGTATTCGGAAAAAGTCTTCTTCTGTCACCTGTGACGACCTTCCACGACATGCATGTGCAAGCATTTCTCGAAGCTCCTCGTCCGACAGCTTCTCCCCTAAGTCGACAGAGGCTTTCTTCAAGTCGTCCCAAGTGATGACATCCTTTCCATTTGCAAGCGCCAAGAAACCTGCACATGCGCAACGGTTCTATTGCTGGGTAGTTTGTGAGTTTATGTTGCAGTCCACGCAGGTGACACCCACAGATATTGTACCAGTCCCTCCTCACCTTTGCTGAGTTGCTCTCGAGTGGGCTTTTCGTTCATTTTGATTTTCATAATTTCCAGAAAGTCATTATAGTCCAGCTGTGCCAAAGAAGGTTGTCCAGCACCTTGAGCCGCTGCTGAACCACAAACCGTGTTATCGAAAGACGCATCTAGCAAAAAATTATGTCATCTGCACCACTTCCCCTCCTACGGTTGTATGGGGCATTTTTCTGCGGTGTGGAACGCTAAATGCTTTTTGACAAGATAGAAGCTCTGCCAGAGCTTCAACCTTGTCGGGGAAGCTGTTTGCTTGTTCTTGTACGCTCACTGTTCCTCTGTTTGTCCATTCCGTCAGTGCTTCCCGCGTACTTCTTGTTTCTTTCTACCTCTGCTATCAGCCGCTTGAGCTCGTCTCTCGATGGTTCAAAGCCTAGGGCTCTTAACGCCACTCTCACCTCCTTGGCATCAATGGTCCCTGTGCCCTCGACATCGAAGAGGTCGAATGCTTCCTTTATATCTGCTCGTTGTTGCTCAGTTGGCTCTAGCCGGGGCCTTCGAACTCCCTTTCCACCCTTATTTTTTGCATCCGGCATTTTGGCAAAAGACCTAGCCTCAGGCGGATAAATAAGGTTCTCGACTGCTGTATAGCAGGTCGTATGTGTCGGATCTCAAAGATATTAGAAGCTATTTTCAGATCTAAAACGGTCCTAGGCTGCCGGATCAGGTGCCATCAACGAATTAACATGAAAAACTCCATGAGGATTTGCCCATGCAAAACCTCCAGTTTCACGCCAACAGCAAGTTGGGGAGTGACAGGCCGTATTCCCTAGACTAAAAACATCCCTTCCACAGTAAATTATCGAGAATATTTCTAGGGTACCTAAGTTCTGTATTTTCCCCTCTAGAACAAGTTAACGTTGATACCGTGGGGTCACTCCAGGGACAGGCGATAATCTGTGTGGAAGCATGCCTTGGGCAGCAGCTAGATCTCCCTCAGTGGCAGATGCTTCGAGGAAAAGACACGTTCTATTCCCTACAGGCATTTAAACAGGGACATGTGCAATGAAGCCACGTCTGCACAGGGATGGTTGATAGTGCACAGCCGCTGCGTTTTCCCTCCTCTGGCACGACGGATTGCCTCAGTTCGAACTCAAAATTGTTTTCTCTTCCGCAGCAATTGAGACAGATTTCCTTCCGAATCCACATGTGCACTGTCACGTGAGTGGCTTCAACTGCGAACGATGCTGTCTGCTAGTCCTTCGCCGTGCGTTGGGGGCCCCAACCAGTACCCGCAGACCACCAAACCGCAATACCTTGTCTTATATTTCACTCTAATGGCCAGCCATCCTTTTCAAGCCGATTCAGTGTGATTGAAGTTGTTTTTTTAAGCAACAAATCCCCTGAATTGTTGCAAGGATAGTGCTAGGACAATCGCTTACTTGATAATTTTAGCTACCGTAGCGCGCGCTGGTTGGAAGCGAAAGGGAAGCTCATCGGCGAGTCCCGAGAACAAGGATTTTTGTCTTTTCCCATTGAACTTTAGGAATATAGCAGTGGTCTACCTACAGGTCCCCGGCGTCTCTTGCAGTGCGAGCAGCCCAACGTTTGTCTCGGCGATCAAGGATTCCCTCTTTTCCGGGTCTGTTGAGGAACGACCGTTTGCCTCCTTCCTACTAGGACCACTCTGCTTCTAGTTTTTCTGTGATTAAAGCTGAGAGGCCATAAGCAGGAGAGCCGCTCGTGGCTTCCTAGACTGTAGAGCTGCTGCTCACCAGACGCCGGCTTCGTACTCGTTCGCGTGCGGCAGCTGCATTAAATGCTAAAATTGTGAATATTTTAGTATGACCAGCTGTTACTGGAATAAGTATTTTGGTGGAAATGTTGAACGAGTACGTGGCGGAGTTCCACAGCCTTCGTGCGGAACTGGAGAACATGCTAGACAGCGCTGCATCAAGAGGAGATTTATTTGTAGCAACAGATTCCAAGCTGAGGGAAATGAAAGGCAAGTTTATGCAGCACTTCATGCAGAATGCTCGTGATTGTTCCGCACGCTGAGCGCAGGTGGCTGTTTATGGGGCATCTGCTCGTCTCTCTGACTGTGGAATATGAGTATATTTAATTTCATGCATATGTACGTTTACTTAGAAGTAGCTTTCAAAGTGGGCGTAATAGAGCTAATAATAAATGTTCACTAATTTGAGGCACATGTCTATCAGTTATAGAAGAAATTAACTGCCAGAGATAACCAGTCATTATTGCTATAACAATTGCTGGCAATTGAGAACCCAAATTAGACGAAACAGCCTTGTCCAGATGTCCCTAAGACGCCAGGTGTGCAACATCAATATGACTTTATCAGTTGCATGGTGAGATTTGGTGTGTACTTCCGAATGAAACTTTGTACTTCACCATCAGTGGAGGATCATAGATGAGAGTTTTCGACTTTCTGCAGACTGCCTCGGGGCATTTGAAATGGAGCTCAGTTCCATGCCTCCAGCTCAACGGAGCAGCCATCTAAACCAACTTCAAACATTCCGTGATGAGTTCTCCAGGCTTCAGCGCAGGTTTGTGTTACGCCTGCAAAAGGATATGACGCGTGCTGGCAGTGTAGAAGTTGAACTGCGGTTTGTTGCCCATTTCCCATCTTACCTGATCCAGTGATATTGCTTGCCGGTGACGGTTGTTGTTCGTTGCAGGTGCCTTTTCGCGACTAATCGTGGGCACGAAGCATCAGCGTCCGCAGAGCTAAAACGCGGGACCCAAGCACTTGAAAGGCTGAACAGTGCAAATATTCAGGTAAAGCTTTGCCCATTCCGTGCGTGGCATTGCTCGCTACGAAGAGAACGCATAAACCACATCAGCTGTTTGCGAGTTGGTGTGTACACGTGCAGCTTGGCAATGCGCGGAAACTCGCTGAGGAAACCGAGGAGGTTGGCGCGAACATCCTGTGCAACTTGTACATGCAAAGGGAAAGCATCCAGCGCGCGAATCTCCACGCAGAGCAGACAAATTCAAGCCTACGCGAATCAAGTTCCCTAATATCGAAGATGGGAAAGTGGTGGAGCGGTTTGATTGGATAGTGCAGCAACTGTGCAAAGCTATGCAGTGCTTTTCCTTTCTTCCCCGAGAGTTTTGCTTATATGCCTTCACCTGGGATGCGGCTGTGTGTGTGTCTCGGTCTCAATCAGTGCGCTGAATCGAACCGAATGCGTGTGTTATCCGTTCCGTACCATTTTGGAGGCTCTCTTGTTCCCCCCCAGTCGCTCTAATTTGGCCAAGTGCTGCCTTGTAGAGAGCCATGAGATGCCTAAAAGTGAATACAGTTACCCCTTCAGGGTGTACCACGCCAGTAGTGTTCCCAAGGCGCAGCAATCGTCCCGCCGCTGGTAGTACACAGGATACTTTTAGCAGTTGGTGGCCAATGGTGGAAAGACTGACACAGGACTGTAATATAAGTGGTTTACTCCCCTGCACCGGACTCGGCCTCATTCTTTGCATGTTGTAACTTAAGATACCATGATGGTGTTGCAGAACACGAAATATTAGAGCCGTTCCGGCAAGTTAGTGTAATTGTACATGCAGGATACAATTAAACAAGCAGCATCAAGCACTATGGCTGCAGGGTACATCTCTTGAAGCAAGGCAGCTTGGGTTAAACAGTCGTAGGTTGGGTAACTAGTCGTCAGCATGTACACGTGGCCACTGCATTGAATACAGTTAGGGCACGTGGCGGGGAAGTTTACGTTTTAGAGGGGGAGCTTTGCGTACTCTCCGGTGACTGGCTGTTGGCCGGCGTCGTACCTACCGAGCGGTCCAGTGAGGCCAGTGGGGAGCAAGTGACACAAACTACATCCGTAGACCGGTGGTAAACTCTGGTTACGAATATGAAGAGGCGTTCTGAAGTCTAACAACCGAGGTAAATGATGTGCTACCATGCGCGGAAAAAAATGCGCATTCGAGCGAGGTTGCAGGACGCTTACGGGATAACTCTTCAGATTGCACAGATGAGCAGCGGAAGTGTCAAGAAACCAGTTGATAAACCATCTACTTTTACGTGTTCAGTTGCTGTCTTTGGGGTATTTGTATTGGAACCAAGTGAGTGAAATGGGTGGGCAACACCGGTGGTCACCATTGGCGTAGTCGGCAGCCACACACCCAGTTACACGCAGTGAATGTCCGTCCTGCAGGAGGAAGCCTTCGTCTTTTTCATTCAAAGGCAGCTGTAGTGCTGTCTTCACAGCTGAAATTTCGATGGAAAACAGCCTGTTGTCTAACACGGCCAGACTGTGGAGGCTCGTTCTCTTGCCAAGCAGGTGCTTTCCGTTCAGCAAGGAGGCGGACGACGCGCTTGAATGTTGGCCCATCGCATACTCAAAACATTTGGCGTATCGTGTGTTGAAACTCCAGCTGCAGAAGAAGTTTGTGAATTGTCTTGCTGGTTTTCGTGTCAACTGTGAATTGGGTTACAACCCTAAAAAGGGAACCCCCAACATTCCCCGATTCCATCCACAGTGTTTATAGCCAATAATAGCGATAACATTAAGGAAGGTTGAAGGAAGAAACACCGTCAGCGGCTCAGCCCTGAACATCTGCTCACGAAACTGTGACTCCAACGGCGTAAGGACGGAAAGTTATAACGGCACGTGCTCCAATGATGCACTGCAGCTTACCAAAAACGGGAGAATTTCAATCCCTTGAAGCAGTGGATGAAGAAGTCGAAAATATGCCAGTGTTTGTATCTCCAATACCAATCCACCCAATCTCCACCCTCGCCAGGGTTTCAACAGTAGGTGAGCAACTTGCCTCAACGGATCCAGAGGCACTACTTCCCGCATGGAAGCGGCAGCTGCGGCGTTCAAAGTCAAACGAATCAAGAAAACGAATCCTACACTTTCTCATCCCTGGAGTCAACAGGAATGCCACCTCGGGACAATTGGATTCAAATGATGTCGATGGCCATTGGATGACCCAGAGCGCTAACAACTCTTGTAAACTGAACCGTGCTGACGATGCTGCAAGCGCAGCAGCTCTAGCGGCAGCTGTTGCTGCCACTGCATCACCGAGAATGAACGATGCAACCCACGCATTGCTTCATACGGTGGCTGGGGCAGCTGGGGCCGTCGTAGCCATGGCTGTAGTTTACCCTCTTGACTCGCTACGTACCATCCAGTCCGTCCAAGGTGGATCCGCCTGGGACGTTACAAAGCTTCACCTGCGTCACGGCGGTTGGAAGCGGTTATACCGGGGGATGAAGGCAGCTCTTGCAGGTGTTATTTTTAGCTGGGGCACGTATTTTTTCGTCTACACCCTCGCAAAACAAAAGGATAAGAACCGGTGAGGTTCCAATTGCCTATTGAAATATGTCAGATGTGTAAGCTTTTCTCACCGTCCTAGACAAATTTCCTTTTAGCGTAAGCGTTTTACTTTTTATGCCACAGCAGAGGTCCAAAAGCCAAGACGGGCACAAATCTTCCCATGGCGATCGGTGCCGGAATTTGCTCCACTGTCATAAGCAATCCCTGTAAGAGTTAAATAATTCTGTAGTAGGGTTTTGCAAGCATGCATTCTGCATAATGAGGAAATGGGCAGATGCTTGAAATGCTGTAGATTGAAAATGAACAGGGCTGCGTTCTCTTGCAGTTTGGGTGGCCAATACTCGCCTTAAGGTAGACTTCTCCGCAAATTCCAAACAGCAGGTAAGTTGTAGTGTGTTCATTGGCATCCACAACAACTTATCGATGCAATACTGTACGTAGAAGCAACCTTGGCCAAGCAGCTCAGCCGTATGCACCCCTACACTGCTTCCCCGAGTGTCTTTTCTTTGGATAAATTCAGGGCATCTTCAAGATGCTGATAGAGATACTGCGCAAGGAAGGATTTCGTGGATGGCTTGCGGGGATTGTGCCGGCCCTAGTTCTGGTGTTAAATCCTGCCATTCAATTCACGCTATACGACCACTTGCGAGCTAAACTGATGCAGCTAAAACAGGTTCGCTTGTAGCCTCCAGTGACAAACCAAACCTTCAATGTCTACTGCCAGTTTTTACTTTGCAGTCGTCGTCTAAGTGTTTTTTGGGGTTGCTGTCGTAACAGAGATGGCGAACCGCCTCCCGAGAGCCATCCTCGAATTCACTCAGCAGCCAGCACAGCAGCACAGGATCCCTTGTTTCCGATAGGATGCTGCGAATCCGCGTTACACCGGCTGAATCGTTCCTCATGGGTGCGTTTCCGTCTCATAGGATCTTATATGTATCTGCATCTAGACATCCGCCTAGTAATGTTGTGGCCCACCACTTGCGCTCCATGCAGCACAGTAGTATCCCGTTCGAGAGTGGGGTTGACAACTGGTCTGCGTTGGCTTAGGACTAGCCGCAAAGCTGGCGGCGACTCTAGTAACTTACCCATATCTGGTTGTCAAGACGCGAGCACAAAGCAAAGTATATAACGTTAAGGACTACTCATGTAAGCAAGTCTTTGAAGTTGGCAGAATTTGCCAGGTCTGCTCTGGTGAACGGCAAGGTGCGGTGGGTACAACGGTAATTTCATGACTGTCCAGCACCTGGCACGGCATATGCTATTTTCAGTTACTGTGTATACTTCTCTGCGTCTGTCGCAGCCAGCGTGCGGAGTCTTATCATGATCCTCGAGACGGAAGGGCTGTCAGGCCTCTTTGCTGGCCTGCCTTCGAAGCTAACGGCCACCTTGTTGTCATCGGCGATAATGTTCACAGTGTATGAGCAACTACTCCCCCTAGTTGTTCTATTGTTTAGGTCGCTTAGGGTACCCACCTATCGTAAGAGAGATGTCATCACACAGTCGGACTAACTGAGCGGCGTACACGAGGCAAACAGGTCACCCGATTCCCCAAAGCAGCTTACATAGTGCCCAGGAAATCCTCGAGGAGGGAAGGAAGAATTGATATGCCCTTTCCAATATTGGAGAACTGCCAGCGATTTCTACGCTCGCAAGCGCGTCTGTCAGCGAATGCTCGTCGCCGGTTTGAGCATGCATTCGAAATAAGTAGTACAGTACGCCACCAACGCAGCTAAATACTGCAATATCCACCAACAATCACGACTTCCGGGCTAGGGACAGTAGTGGGCGCCACGCCGCCCGCAAGAATCTTCTTAGTGTCTTGCTCAGCAAAACGGTCCTGCCCGTTGCAAGTTGCATTCGTGATCTACATTCAGAGTGTGGTGGAGCCAACTAAGGAAAAAGGATAGGTTCAAAGCTTAAGGTAATTCCTGTCCACAGAAAACTTCCACAAAGCGCAGCGGCGGCAGTAACCCACCCCATGCCGTAGCTGCCGGGGGGCGCAGTCCAATGACAACGCCCCTTACGCACGAGTTAACTCAGAAGAAGAACCCCAGGATCTTCCCTCCGGTATGCTTTCTGCGGGCTTCCTCATGGTCCATGATGCCGTACGCCGTCGTCAGCACCAAGTGCCCGAACTGGCGAGAAGGCAGCAAATTGGAGCAGTATTTCTCAATGTTCGCTACTGTCACATCGTACCTGAAGGCGTGCCACACAACAATGTGCCGTCGCTCAGCTGCGGATGCCTGTTCAACAGGAAAACAGTGCACTTCGGAGCATACTCTCAGAGTACCAAGTAGGACTAACGGTAGCGATGGGCTCTGGACTTAAATGAAGTTACCTCGGGCTGATCACGCCGCACTTGTTGATGCGGCCCAGCAAGTCCACCACAATCTTCTTAGAGCGATGGTCATCAACAATCTCGAATTCGCCGATGTAGCCACGTCTCTGCATGCACTGCAGAAACTTGACCACCACCTTGCTCGAGGGCCGAATAAGCACCTGACGGCGTCCCCGCTTCTCTGCGTTGACGATCGTCTTGAGGCAGTCGGCTAAAACGGACATGCGCACCATCTGAAGCAGCGAAAAAGCAAACACGCACAAAAGCATTGTTTGATTCAACTAACAGAAATGTTCGAGAATTACCTCTATACACAATTCACAAGACCTCACGGTGGCAACGAAATGTTCATAGACACACAAACGTGCGAGCATGATCTCCCCTCGACTAGAGGCCGTGGCAAAACTGTTGCCCATGTCTTTCTCAATCGCAGTGGAGACCAGTACTGCAGCGCCCTTCCAATCTTCGATACAACTAATCCCCCGTATATCCGGCTGTCGTTCAAAGGTCCCGAGCTACAACCCGCAAATGCACTCTCCCCAGCCCCATCGTCCCCATGGGATGACGCAGCAAAGAAATGTACGTGACATTCACAAACAGTCCGCAAAGACTCCAAACAAACATAATCTGACGTGATTTCTATCGACAGAAGTCACAAAACACCCTAGAACAGTCTGGTCGACAGCACATCTGCTGATCAGCAGCGCCCCTCTCAGGGGGCCGGCATGATTGCCTACGGCTCAGTGACCTACTGCTGTGCACGTGAAAAAAAGTAAAGTGGCTCTTTATAAGAAAATCGGCAGCTGAAATTAGGCGTAAAATGAAAACATGCAAGTACCCCACACTTCCGCAAAGCATGCCTTCGGCTGATCTGCGAAAACCAGGTGATTAAGATCCGTGAATCACACTTGCCTTCACTAGTTCATTGATAACGAGAAGACGCACGTGCGAAGGCCAGACCGCAAAAAGTTTACTCGCTCATAAGCCTGCTACGCCATGTACCGCAATGGCTTCATCACAGCCAATTCAGCCCCGTACGTGGGGCGTGAAGTTGCACCCCGCAACCGAACTAAATATGGGGCTTGACGGTTGGTTAGAAAATAAATTCCCATTATTGCCATAGGAGAAAATCATATTTTTGCGTTCTGAATAATGCAATTGGGCATGCAGAGTTTTGAGCAGCGCTCATTCCTTCCCGTGGCGCGCACGCGCACGTCAGCATTCTTTTGTGTGTTTTGTATGGGGCGGGTAGCCTTTTGCAGGACCCAACGAATTGCATTTTAGGCCGAAGAGCATTATTTTAATTATTTTCAGAAAGTATGGCACCCTTCATATTTCCAGTCGTCCTGCACAGTGACCCATCCCCCTATGGCTACGCATCTCGGCTTGCAGCGCAATTCAGGGATCCTTATCCGAAGACTACTATGAATTGCAGTAGACGCAAAAAGCCTATGATGGTAGTTCCACAAGTGGGAATGACCTTATTTCGCAATCGCCAAGGCGTCCTGAGCTCAGCTCGGAAGCGCCTGGCAGAGGCTCAAACGCCTGGGGGAGGCGATGCGTCCTGCCATTTGTTGGACAGCACCTTAATGCAGTTCAATGTGAAAGAAAGCCAAGTATACAAAAACGCAGAGGCCCTCTATGCTTTATTTACAAGCAGTGTATATAGCTGTAGGGAACGTTTGCTAACCGCCTGTTTATCAGTATGTGTTGATAGTAGGTTTGGCATGTTCAAATATACCTTCCAACATCATATGAGGATTGGGCATCTGATATACCCTCACTCAAGCACCTCTGACCGTTGTATGGCAGCATCTGCCTTTAATATGGCTGGGTTTAAATCCCTCGTTTAGCTTTGCAGCCCAGGCGACCGTGGGCGATGTTTGCTGCGGCGCACACTTCCCTTCCGTGCAGGAATGGCCCCAGCATCTATTTAGCGAGTTGCTTTTGGAGGCTGATGAAGATCTGGCTGTGCTGATTCTGCACCGAAGACAACTTTCAGGCCTGCAAAATCCGCTGGACGCTGGTGTGCTCGGGCATGAGGTTTCGATGACGTTGCTGTGTTTGCCGCTTCAGCTATTTCTCGCAAATACCGGTACAGAAAGAAAATGGTGGCGCTCTGTGGCACTGCAGGCTATCCAGAAAAGAAAAGCTGTTGTGCGGGGGGTTTAATTCAGGTCACCCTAATTACAGTATGGAAACTAAATACCAACGAAAGAACCGGAGCACAGGGAATGGGAATTTTTTGCATTATGAAAAGGCATTAATTACAGAATATTTGAACAAAACTCAATCTCGAGCTGAACGGTTCCCACCAGTGCCTGCAGCAGTTGCCGAATAGACACGGATGATCTGGCGATGTGCGCTACGAACGAACGATCCTCCGGAAGGCAATAGAGCCGACCCCTTCAGCTTAATTTCCTTGCGTTCTTTGGTACTTACGAATTGAATCAAGACTGCTGAGAACATCGGTCTTTTCCGGTTGTGTTGCTTCACCACGACGTTGGTGGCCCCTTATGTCGATTTAAAAGGCGAGCATTAAACGAAGGACTCTACAAATTGAGGCCACGTAGAGGTCATACGCCAACGTATTGAAGCGAAAGGGAGCAGCAAAATATCCTGCCCGTGCGGTGATCTTCTTCGGCTGCTCGAAGTCCTGCTTGCGAGGGAGAGCTGGCGAATCCACCAAGCATCGGAATTTCACCTATCGCCTGTTTTGAGGGTAAGGGCTGAAAGCTGGTTGCCGCAGTCTTTATTCTGTCGTTCCCTTGCACCCTCGTGATGCTGCGTGCTGTACACAAAAGTGGCTGTTGACGCTAATATGCGGCTAGCCTCCAAAAGCCAGATCTACCGTTAAGTAAACCAAAGGTGTAGAAACTAGGGATGCCGGAGAGCAACGACTAGAACAGTCCATATTTATAATCCAAACCCTTTGTGCACAAGTGAGTGAAATAAAGAATTTTGAGGTGTTCTCCTGGTGTTAAGAGCCAATACTGAATCAGTGTGTGACTGCGTTCGGCTGCTGCACAGTGATTTGTTGTGGCTATATTATGGCTTATGCTTCGTCCGGTATCAAGATATTCCGGTCGCTACAGCAGCGCGTGTGGCTCATTGTAGAGCTTGAGGACATGTTCCGTTGCATGGGATGGAGAGACTGAACTTGATTCAGCTTGACGAATCTCCTAACCATTGATCTCGTCTCCACCTGGGGAGGGGGATCCTGATCAGTACCCATTGCACACGAGAAGTGAAAGACTGATATTTGAATGGAATTGGGGGGGGGGAATTGGGAAAGCTTTGTTTCTGTATGTAGTATATTTACTTGGAAGCGTTTTCGGTAGTGCTCACACCCGTGAAGGCTGCGGCCAGAATGTAGGAACGCGGTCCATTACCCTGCTCCCGGTGGGCGGGAGGAAAGCAACAGCTTAAAGCTTATAAGCTTCGCTCAGTGAGAGGCTCTCCTGATGTGCGGATAGCACTAAGAGCTCCTGGAAATCACTCTAAACAATGCAATGCTACTCGGTTAACAGATGTCCTCGACTTCTAGTCAAAGGGCATCATTAGCTGACGAAACAAGCAAAAGTACTTGACATGAAAGTTCTCCAAAAGTACTAGACCTACTCTCCAGCCACCAGAATTCCATGTAGCAGCTGCACAAGGACCTCGGGCTGGTGAGGAGATGAGGCAACCTCTCATATGTTGCAGTACTCCTTGCTTCACGTTGTACTGGTAACCTCAGGGGTAAGCATGGCCAGGCCCCCTGCTGCTGCACGCACTAACGCCTTGGAAGATTGTTAAACAATTCCTTTGGTCTCAGTAGCAAGCCAGTGCTCAAGTATAAATACTCGTGCCAACTCCAGACAGGCCATGATCCAGATCACGCCACAGGGTCCTCCACGGCTACTCGAAAGGAAGCCCATACAAGGAAGTACTCTCACGAATTGCACGAAGAAGAGTGACACGAGGGTATTTATGGGCGTCAATTTGTGTCGCGGTAGGCATGACATATTGCAGAACACTTCCGGTTCCCTTCACAGGGTTCTAAAGAAGGAGAGCATTTTTCCCCGAGCGGGGAAGCAGTAGTGCCCAACACTTCACTGAGCTCGGAATGTGAAAATAAATTTGGTTTATGCGGAAGAACAAGAAAACTATGCACGAACGAGATAGGACAAGATACTGTCTGCCACAGTGCTAACAAGGCTCCTGCTGCCTGTGAGAGACCTCGCGCCCAGCGCACGTGTACAGTCCCCAGTTCTATTTATGTAGAGAGCTCTTCGCCTTTTTAGTTGAAGTATCTCGAATGCTTATATGCTGAAGGGTTTTATACACGACTTAACTAGGGTTCGCACCTAATGTGGGACTAATATTTTAGTGATATGTAGTGGCTGGAGGAACAAGCGACCTACCAGGAGGGTGTACCTCCCACCCACCCGTTCGTGATGCTCAAAAGCACCCAAGTGCACTCTCGCTAGAAAAACTGCATTTAAATGACACGACGGGGTTCGTTAGACTCAATTTATTGAAGCGCTACCCTCCGTCGGCGCGCTCTGAAGTTGTTTACTCTTCTTCTCTCAATTTGACGGTGCTCTTTGCCGCTGCCTGCAGGGTGCAACTACTGTCCCTGAGCAGCCATTGAGGGACATAGCTTCTCCATCTCCAACTTTGTAGAATTGTCTTTGAAGCCTGCATTCTCCAGGAGCTTCCTCCCAACTGAACATTTGGGTCCGGGGCGCCGGAAACGTATCTGGAACCGCCCCGGGACATCTCCCGACCGCTGTGGACTGCCAAAACGAACGCCCGAGCTTGGCAAGTACCAGAGGATCACTGTGCTTGCGATTTGCATGTTACCTTCCCCTTGACCAACTTGTCTACTCTTTTTTTCCGTCAGACACAGTGCGGCGCACTGATCCTGTCTCACTTGGATTACAGTCCCCAAGGAGCGCCCCCTCCAGGTGAGGTGAGGATAGAGGGAGCCCACATTATAACAAACACGATTTGCGTACTACACTAATGCAGCATAAGCTGGCCGTGAATCTGCGAAGGCGAACTAATTTAGAAACTGGCATTGTTCATGACTTGGTAGACGTGAACAGCGAAGTGGGCTCGGAATCCAAGCGTGAATCCGAGATAGAGGGTTGATTTTGCCATCTTCAATAGACTGGATGGGCAGATATGGAAGGATGAACAGCTGCCGAAGGAGTGCTTTTCCTGGTTTCACCTGAACTCTAAGTTGAATTCTCATTGAGCGACACTAAGGCTACACTGTTCACTGCACATGAAAAGATATTATTGTTCTCTTGGCAGCTCCTTTTTCCTGCAGATAAGCTAAAATGTACCTTGAAACGCTCCGCAGGTGCAGGTGCACGCGAATGGTGCTTTAGTGCGACATGTTAACCAACTCCCGGGTGTGTGGTGTCGCAGGCATAGGCTGTAGGGCCGTTGGGTCATTTCAAAAGTGAGCGTCTGCTTGTTATTTCCCGACAGACACGATGGCAGTCTTCAGGTCAGGCGCTAGGTGGGCGGACTTGTCTGTTGATTCATCCAGTTGCAGCAAAACCGTTCCCGGAAGCACTGCACAAGCTGCACTTCTATTGCAGGCCGAACAAGCCGAGCAATCGTATGCCCCAGACGGGGCTGCTGCCCTCCCTGAGTTCGAAAACAGTCAAGCAGGAATTAACCTGTTTTTAAAGGAAGTTGATCTAGGTGGGGAGGATTCCAGCAAAAACGGAAACTCTTCTGGCCCAGGAGCAGAGCACGTAGCGGCTGCGTGTTCATCAGACAAGCCAGCCTCTAGCAAGCCAAGCCCCGAGGAGGACGATGGAGTCGCTGCGAAGATGCCTGGGTTCAGGGGGTTGCTGGTGAGCGTTCCAAACGACGGGGCTAGTGCGGGTGCAAGCGACGACGCCTCTAACGCTGGCCGGCGCGAACGGAATGCGGCTTCTAAGATAAGTGAGACAGCTGCGCTTACGCCAGCTAAAAGAAATAGAAGAGCCTCTGGAGCCCCCGACGGGATTTCGAATACGGTTGTTGGAAATTCAGAGGCGCCCGCAGAAGATGGATCTGCATCACCAGCTGCTCCGGATGGGATGTCTCAGCGCTTCGCTCAAAGTAAAAGGCGCAAGTCTGCTTGCTCTCGCCGTTCTGCAGATGGTTATTTCCCTGAGAGAATCGCCAATATTGAGTCTTCAGTCATGTCATATGGGCAACAGGGGAAACGCCGTAGCGCGAGGGGGAGTGACCGACACCGATCGGGTGGGACACGCAGAGCCTCTGAGGGCCAGCCCAATGCTGGGCTGCTGCTGCAGATGGGAAATCCCGCCTTCTTGCAACTGCCTGGTCTCGTGTCCCCCATGTTCATGCCAGCTGCACTGCCACCAGGGACGGTAGTCCCCCTGACAGGTGTTCTCCATCCACAAGTAGTGAAAAAAGCAAAAGAGATGGTCAACACCAGCAAGGAGCAGCAAGAGCAGGAGGATGAAGAGGAGTGGCAACGGCGTGAGTGCGCGAGAATGAAGGATATAGCTATCGGGAAGGCTACTGCAGGGTACCGCAATTTTCTCAAGCGGGTGGGAACGGAGCGCCGATCAGAGGGAGACCCGATGACCCCAGATGCCAAACTGCGATGCAGCAAAGCCCAGTTCCAGCGAGCCTACCAAAAGTGGAGGAAACAGCTGCACCAGTATGACAACATCTTGGACGAATCATCGATCAGCACGCCGTCACCAGCCGAAGCGCAATGTCCAACCGTGGAGGTAGCAAATGCAGAAGACGGAAACGGTGGCCTACCAAAAGATGCATCTGATCAGCAGGCCTTAGAGGCAATCCTGGCTTTCAACAAGGAGTGCGAGCTAGCAGGTTTGTAGCTCAACGGGGCTGTCATTACGGCCTTCCCGGAAGGGAATTCCAGTAGGCGTTTTCGTATAGAGCAACAGGAGAGTTTGTGTATGGTGCAGCCTATCCTTAGACACGAAAGTCGACGTGTGGACATGCAAATTGTTCTGCCCACAGAACGGCAAGGAAGTGTCAAAAGGCCCAACAAAAACTACCTCCCGAATGCGTGGTCTTTAAGTTTGCATTTGGTTGCAATGCGGCGACCCTTTTGGTCGACAGATCAAATTCTACCACTACACAGTAGCGTCTAAAGAAGGTTCTGTTTCGTGTATATATTAGCCGCCACGACTGTAGGAATCAGTCCATTACCTTTTAAGATGCCGAACGGGTTTTAAAAACTAGTCCCTCATTAGCTTGGCAGCGAAAACGCCACAGAAATCCCTGGGAAACGAGTATTCATTTCCACGGGAAATGGTGTGCAGGCATAAAAGTCCAATCTGAGCTCTACCTGGAGCTGTCCGGTAAGCGGTGTTAGACAGGAGTAATTTGGGGGCACACCCTCTTCTGATAGAAGGCTAACTCTTCTGAGTTACTTATGGGTAAAAGGTGAACATCTAGTAGCTGAGCGCTGTGGGGTGGCGCGATGGTGAAAAACTTGTAGTCCGCCGCGTCTATTCCCAATTCGCTAAAACGATGCCGTATGACCCCTAGATGCAAACGATAAACCCGTTCTTAAGCGCGAAACGGTCCTCCCTTAAAACAATATCCACGACGTCGGCCCCTTCTAAATATTCGGCAAAATAGCAACAAAACCACCGGGCAGCTCCGCTCCACAGTCCCTTTGGCCGCAATAGAGACCTTGGACCATGTTATGCGCAGCTGTCCGCAGTTAGGGTCGTCCTTGGTACCTTCAGATGCAAGCGGGATGACATAGCTCGGTGAACTGCGAAGAGGAATCAAGAGAAGTGAATAAACCGAAGTTCCAGGGGATGAGTGTACGCATGAGTGACCAGGAAGCCCACAACAGAGAGGAAAGCACCGAGGAACGGACAGAAGATGCCGATTAAAAGCTCCCTGGTCATCGTGTGACGTTTTCCGAAAATCAGGTGGGACATGTATATACCGGTTGCTACAGCTGGATTCATTGTTGCCCCCGCGATACCGCCAAAGAGAACGGCCATCGCTGCAGTCAAGGGAATGGTGACAAGGCTGACATCTCCTGCACTCGTTGCGAATGTTAGGACAAGACACGTGTAGATAAGCAATATTGTCGGAATAACTTCATGGAATATTGAACGAGCTGAAGAAGCGCCGGGATCAAGCGGGAGAACTTCAAGGGGCTCTCCCATTATAGCCCAACCAATCAAGGCTCCACATGTGCCTCCGATCAGCTGGCAAAGGAAATATGCGATATACTCAAAGGCTCGAAAATGCTTTGAGGTCACAAACATTGCGGTAGAAACTGCAGGGTTAAAATGAGCACCACTTATAGGCACAAACAAGAATGTCAGCACGTATACCACAGCAGAGACTGAACAAGGAGCGAAGATTGCATGGCTCCCCTTCTCTGCCAATGCAATTGACGTCACTAGGAACAAAGTACCGAGAAGTTCACAAAAGAACTTCTGGGCGCAAAATATTACATAAAGCATGCGAACATGCCCTTTGCTTAATGCTTCCTGGGAGTCCTCCGCAGGCCCCTCAGCGACAGGAAATTCCGAGCCTGCAACAACAAAAAGATAACCATGCAACTGGCCACGGTAGAGGAAACTACGATTTGCTGGCATTTACCGGCGATGCCTCTACGGTGCTGTAGGTATGACTGTGTCTGAATTGTTCTGCTTCTTTGTTGCACAACAAAAGGAACCTCGCAAAGGCATCAATTGTTACCATCTCCTGATGAAGGAACGGGTAAAAACATCTGAGAAACCACAGACTGTCCCCGCTGAGTCCTCGTATCTGTTCCACCACCTGAGTCCAGAAACGCCCCTTGCGCAACTGGCGAAGTGTGAGAGCTAAGGAATGAAGCAAAAGAAGGGCATCCACAGCCTTCCCGAAGTCACCAAAGTCCTGCATGCCATCCGTAGCTATATTTAACAAAATCACCCATCTGACTCAACCACAGCCTATGTTGTAAATAGCTCCAGTGGTTGAACTGTGGTTAAACTAAAGTGTGCACGGTGCCGCTATCCCACAGAGTTAGGCACAAGCCACAGACCACAATGTCGACCGTCCATATTTGGGCTTTCCACCGCAAATATTCACGTAAGACGTAGCAAAGCGGGGAGCTTCGTTTGGTAGGACGCACTTGCTTGACACGTCCAACGCAACCGGGCAAGTACACGGTGAATAGTTGGGAAGAGAGGAGACCCCGTTTTCCTCGGATTCACCCCCGCGCTCAATGATCCTTACTCAGACACCATGAATTGGTACAGCTACACCTAATGTGTAGAGTAATGAGGCATCTTACCTCCTCGATTCAATGTTGCCGCGAAATCCCGTTGGCCTAGGAGGATACCTGTATCTCCTCGGGAGTACCCGGACTGCACCCTCTGGTACGGGGTCTGCTTTGCAAGAGACATCTGCGTCTGCACTAAAAACAGCAAACAGACAGTTCTGAACTCGGAGGTTAGCCAGTTACTTCAGCGTGCAACGCCACACACACAGAGCATCAGCAGACAATCGTAATCCACGTACACACAAACGTTTTGGCATGCTAGAACCGATAAGGATGTCAGGACTGTGTGCTTCGGGTAAACGGGCTAGCCTGTAATGTGTACAATAGCTTCGGCTTACGTTCGGCCTCGACGGGAGGCGACAAGCCTCCCGGTGGGGCGGGAAAACTTGAGAGTTGGCCTGCTACGGTGGAGGGAGCAGGGGGAGCATTTCCCTGCTGTCCATTTGATTCGCTGGATGCCATCCTCTCGTTTGCTACTTCTTGATTTGCGTGATACTCAATGAGTCCTCTGAGAAACGCAACGACCCCCTCAAACACTCATATGGTATGTCCACATAAGCGGCTTAATTTAGTACATCGGCTAGGGTTTGTTGACCAAAATCAATCCAAAATGTGCACTCACGGCGAAATGCCGTTAGCAGACGGCACCTGGCTGAGTCACTGCCACCAGTAGCCTCCAGCTGAGATCACGGAGGCAAATTGAATATTCCCTCTCAATGGCGGTCCCTAAATGCCAACAAAACGCCTATGAGAAGTACTTTGTGGCATACACTTAGTCAAACATATTCAAAAGTATACTTCATGTGCCGAGTCTTGTGAAGCTTCAGTGAAGCAACCACCACCGGCTACCACTGACCCACCTCCACCGGTCTTTTCCAGTGAGTGCACGCGCAGGCCAAGCGATCTTCTTCCAATTGCAGCTAATCAGGTTCTTGAAATATATTTTTTTTCGTGTTCTGCCCCCTCACCACACTGCGCACATGTTGCTAAACCCCACGGTTGAAGCATTGAGCGGACAGCTGGTGTTACTGCATGTAGTGGCACTACTCCAGTGGTTATCATTGGGAAATTTATACTTGTTTCGCCCTCATAAAGCAAAGATGCAAGAATAATATCTTCTTTCATGTTCGATATCAGTCTCTACCAGTGTGTACAGCTGAAGGGGCACAGCATTCTCTGCACACGTTCATAGCAGCGAGGGGTAGCCACGAGTCATTCCAACTGTTGTTGACATCTCCTGTGATCCCTGGCTGTTCTCGTCGAGGGTGAACTACATAATATAAATCCATAATGAGCATCGCGGAAGTCAAGCTTGGTTACACGGTGGAGTAATGGAAAAGCTCAGGGATTGTACTACAGGTTGTTTCCCCGAGTAAATGGCTTTTGCAACATCATCTGACACCCCGTGGAGTCACGAATTTGCAGCAAACAGAGCAAAATAATTTCTGCTTCTACCTACATGCGATGCTGCGCTGTAAAGGTGGGAGATTTCAGTGGTAATTAGAGAATGATTGAGCAAATCCCGCTGTGCAGCTGGCATGCTTGGTGAGTATCCGACAACACAAATGTTGACACTTTGGCTGACGCTGAGTATGGAGGAGACCAAAAATCCCCTCTACCGCTTCACGAAATCTCCCCTTTTTGAGCAACCGACTAAAAAGGCGCGGCTTTCCGAGGCGTCTGGCGCCATCATAGCACTTTCGTTTACTAGCATGACTACGTACTGCTACTGAAAGTATGTAGGCAGGAAATAAGTACTTGTTGAAAAGACATTCATTTTGTCCAACAACGATCAACAGGTATGCTTTTAGTATATTGAGGAACTCCTGCTCCCAAATACGTTACTGAGAAACACTGCAATTTTGCCGATTGCTTGGGGGTTATTTTTCAACGTTCTAACTTCAAACGGTCAAACTCCTAGAATTGTAACCATATAATCAGTTTTCTTGAGAGAAATTCTAGAGAGAAAACTGCTGCGGTTATGGAGTGCACCCTGCTCTTCGGCGTGGGTCATATATTTAACAGCCCAGCTATAGACACCTAGTCACCCATAGGTGCTGGTGGTGGACTGGCAGTTGCAGTGCTGTCAGTCGCTATGGGGGGATGATAGGGTCAACGTAGCAGCTAACCATGACGCCGTCCTCAATGCGTTTGACTCACAAAAGACAAATGGACCGCTGGGACATAAAACTTCGTCTAAGGCATGGTACATAGTCTGGCAATTTGAAGCCAGGGCTCCAATAAGATGGCTTTCACACGTTTTTGGGCTGAGTTCTAGTGCCCACGCTGCGAGAAGTGCGATCAAATATTCCGCTATTCGGCTGCATTGCGGCAATGCTACTTGGTTCATATATACCGAAGAAGCCAACACAATCAAATTGGAACTTCGCCTTTCCTACTGCCAGTCCCTGCAGAAATACCGTTGCCCAGTCAGCGGCTTTCCGACTGAGAGGGAGCGTCCCGCCTGAACAGAAATTAATACAAAGTATTGCCAGAATCGCGTCCTGGAACAGCACAAGCAGGGTAGTCTGGAGATATAACATCCACAGTGCAATTTACGTCACCATCTACTGCCAAAGCAACAGCTGGAAAGGTTGAGTTTAGGATGCGGCAGCTACCGTGACTAGCGAGTTTCTAGGCGAGACAAGGTAGCGTCGGCCTGCTCGCTGTTGTGGCAAAACACTAAAGATGCAAAACGGCTCAACACAAAAGAACACGCCAAAACTCAGCCATTTTAATACAGATATGGTCACTTCCAAAGTACTGTACATAGCAGGGAAGCCATGCGAGTGAAAAAGGGGGCAATTTCTAAACAACACATAGAACGGCAGTCAGAAACTGTTAGGACCGCACAAGGAGAAAACATACCGGCCAGTCTCCCGGTCTTGAGCAGCATCTTGGCCTATCTCGTCGGATTGACATCGACCCGTTTGGCCGTTCTCCACATTTGGTTTTTTGCTGTCTCCGCGTTTGCCCTTTCCAAACGTTATTTTGCCCCAACTACGTATTTTGTCCCATGTCTTGTTGCCTATGCCCGAACTTGCGTTTCGTGAAAGCTGTTCTTCACGGGTAGGCAGACGGACCGAGGCAAACCGTTTTACGCCTGTACCAACACCCAAGAGGAAGAAGGCGCAGTATTCAGCCGACACGAGAGGAAATACGCACACTGCGTGAAACGACAACGGTACAGTAGGCAGTTACCCTACGATGAACACTGAGACAAACTCCTTCTGAGCAAGCTATTCAAAAGCTGTGTAGCATAGCAAATGAAAGAGTAAATGAGTCAGCATGAAAATATAGTTCTGTGGTATGCCCTTGCAAGACACAGTATGATTGTGGGCAACAAAAGAGAATAAGCACTGAGCAAGCAGCATTCGCCTTTGGAGTGAGTTGTTAGAAGATGGATCCTTGTCTGCTTCCTACCAGGCCTGTTTAAAGTTGCTTGGAAGTCTGTTTGTCCGAGGAGGATACCCGTATCTCCTGGAGAAAATCCAGAATGCTTTCTTTCGTATGGGGTCTGCTTCGCAAGGGTCGCTTGCCTTCTCACTGGCAGCAGAAAGGCAAGCAAACGACCTTCCGCTTCAGTAAGAAAGTACTCCCGTCAGTCAAATGTGTGTCAGCCCCCGCTACTGCTACTACTTGTCTGTAGCCGCCATGCTAGTTGCCAACCGTTTTAGGGCGAGGAAAACACTCCAGCACCAGCATGCAGGACTCAGAAACAACAAGGTACAGGATAGGCTGCATGAAGGTAGCATTAGAGGAACGATAGACTCTGTTTGGGTAGTGAATGCGTACCGTGGCACTCCAGTGTGGTCGGCAACGTCCCGGAGGGAGTGGTGAAGCTGAGTCCCTGGCATCCATCATTGGATGCTGGTGCGTGGCCTCTCCCTTGTTGCACTGAAGATGAGTTTGAAGGCATATTGTACGGATCGACGATTGCTGCACGGTCGTTCCCTGAACGCAACGCCCCGTAAACTGCAGGAACAACAATTCATGACCCCACATTTCATAAAGAAGCAAGTTTGTCTGCATGTGAGGAATTGTCGGAGCAAGCTTGCAGTGTAATACCGTTCAATGATTGTGGAGATTCGACTGTTGGCCAAGACGGCGATTGTGGCGAGGCGGTTGATACGCAAACTGAAGCCTTCCGAGAACTACAAAGTATCAAAGACAAGATATTCTTGGTAAAGTACAAACAGTATCCGAGCTAAACTGCTTCACATGCGAGTCAATTTCTGGAAAGAGCATGTGACCCTCCCTCGCCCCACCTGCGGCCTCCAAAGGCGATGCACCGGATGTTTTCTGTCACAACAGTAATAACAAAGTGATAACAATACGCAAGGTGCCAAATCATTCCTCAAATAAGATCTACAATGAAGGTGTTGAGGCCGACTGCTGTTGGACCTCAAGTATGCGCCTTGGACCACTGGTGTGCACTACCCGCTTTCATCGCTCGCCGGTTGTCGACGTGCAAAGATCCCCCTGCGACGCATCAAGAGCCAACAGTTGCACTTTTTTAATTAACAAGATATATTAGTAATTTATCTTTCGGGAAAATTTGTTAAGTTTTCCGAAAAACAGCGAGTGCGCAGCACCATGCCTCAGTGCGTACCCAAGTGCCGACAAACTACCAGGCATTGCCAGAAGAAACCAAGATGCATATGACCACTTTGTTCCCAGGCAGAAGTGCTGCTTCACTTAGCCCTTCCATATTTGGATAGGCTTAAGTCTCAATTCATGCACTGAATTCACTCTACCTGCTCGCTGCAGGGCACCTAAGTCTGCTGGGCGTGAAGCTTTCGGGAATATTCTTGGGTTTCCCTTTCTAGCAAAACTCCTTCTACTAGGGAAACTACCGTAGAAATCAATGGGAGGGCACAGCCGTGAGCGACCACCTGGGAGCATCGCCACTGTCCACATCCCAAACCCTTATATCAGACAAGCGCGTGCTCGCTGTTCTCCAAGTAGTCCATACTAGAAGAAAATTGGGGATGCCGTCTAATCCTATTGCTCTCTGACACCTTTGCACACCGATCACGGCAGAACTGCGATGCCATGTCCCGTTAGAATCTACCTCACTACATTTAAGAAGCTAAACCGCCACGACGTGGAAAAAAAAACTATCCGAAAGAAAAAATTGTTGTAAGTCGCCGACGATGAATCTGCTCCGGCTTTCATTTCCAGGAGAAGAAAAAGCAGTTAATTGCGTAGGGAAAAGAAATAAGCGGCGTAGCCACTCCACAAAGGAGACGGCATACCGCTTCAACGACAAGAAAAATGGCTAAGGCTGTAACACAGGTACGCTTCCCCGTCAAGATGTAAAGCACTCCAATCTGGAATCCCATATCAGGCTGTTCTTGAAGGCGGCCTTGCGAGCAACGCTTTGGGAACGTTCGAGAGATCCACCGTTTTCAGCTGAAGAAGACGAGCTGCCCTAAAATACATGTTAACGCAGAGAAAGGAGAACAAAGCAGTCGGTAACAACTCAAGCAAACGAATAGGGAGCTAACGCGGGTGCTGCCAGTGCTCAGCTAGAGTACTAGCTGTCGTGCATCCGAACTTATCGCCGTTTTACCTTTCCTCGGGTCTCCCGCCACATTTCCACCCCAGTTGCCTCAGCTTCTCCTTCACAACTGCAGTAACAGAAACACAAGTGCAAACGGGGACCGTCGGTAACCAGGGGGAAAACACGACATATATATGACCTCGAAATGTGTCAAATCTTTTTAATCTTCATTTCTTGTGAAAAAGATGGGTTTTTTGTGTTAACTCGCTATCGTCTTGGCGCCAGCAGATAGTTAATGCATATACTGATGCAGACGCCAAACAGCGGAACGAAGAGTGTACAACATACGAGCACATACTAACCTGCAGCATCTACTGCCTTCGCAAGCTCCTCGGCGGTGTTGAAACGGCTTACATCCAACTGCTGCGCCTCTCTAGCTACTTTCTCAGCTGCCTCCGCTGCTGCTTTCTCCGCCAGAGCTGCTGCTCGAGCTGCTTCAGCAGCAGCTTCTGCCTCTCTTTGAAGCGCTTTCTCCCGTTCAGCTGAGGCCTTCAGGCGCATTTGCTCTAGCTGTTGCATGAGTGCTGCCGCTGCTGGATCAACTTTGGGACTATCGGCTACAGACTTCTCTGGGTTGTTGTCTCTCACAGGGCCCTGCATAGATCTACTGGCATCTGAGGAGCTTGACGAAGCATTCTTGCTGCTAGTGGCAGATGCGCATCTTTGCGCACGATTGCTGCTCACGCCACAATTTGCACTGGCTCTAGACGCCACACGGCTGGAACTATCGGACGATGAGCTCCTGCTGCAGCTGGTGCTACTGGCCTGCTCGACTACTTCGCGCACTTCGTCTGCATCTGTTTCGGACCACTCTTCATCCTCACCGTCGAGCTCGACAGCGTCACGCAGCTGAGAGAACAGCGCCCGGTTCTGTGGTGCCACGGCCCGATTCCGCTGTTCCTCTTCCAATTTGCTCCTGCAGAGACATAGAGCATTGCCAAAAATGACGCGCAATACACATATCACTATGGCATGAGGAAAATGCCATTAGCTGAAACTGCGTGCTGGCATAGAGGCATCACCCACTCCCTCCTCCCCCGAAAAACTAATTTGGGTTGTGTGTTGGAAGTGTGCATACCTCAATTGAGTTTGCTGTTTGAAGCCACGAGCAACCACGGATGTCATCTCGGATACCTGGGCCAATTGCTCGGAGAGAAATGCATCATCTAGAGCGACAGTTGGCTTGGCCTCCTTCCCAAGTAAAACAGCAGCGCAAAAAAAGACTGCAAACATCCTCCACCAATGCAAATGTTCCCTCACACAGCCGACTGTACAGGGGTAACAGGTAGAAGGGATCAAACACAGATACACTAGTTATTCCTTTGTGAATACCCACCGGTACCTTCTCTTGAACGCCTTGCGTCAGTGCAGCTACTAGTGCATCTTCCTTTCGCTTCTTCTCCATCCACTCTTTGATGCGCGTCACTACTTGGGCTTGCCTGATCCTCCTTCCGGTTAGATCTCTATGAAAGCAAAGCAAGAAACGCAAAAGCATTGAGGTACACATCGGGGAGGCCAGACAACAACGATGGCTCAATTCTCCCTGATTCCATTCAACTAAGTCAAGACTTCTGGCATTCCATGTCATCATCCTATACACACCTGCATGCATCAATGGAGAAATTAGCCCTTTTCTTCCTCCCCTGCTTCTTCAACAGGGCGCCAAAACCACCCTTGCCTCCTGGCAGCCGCAGAAGTAACCAGAGCGTGCATAGTGGGGCTACGGGCGGAATTTTTGTTGCTTTCGAATCAATTGCCGCTCGTGCGGCAAAGCCCCGATATGCAGCTACTGCAAGAGCTGCTTCAGCACCTAGAATTGTTTCTAGTGGCAAGCATGTATGTGAATAGACTTCCTCTTGCTGCACGAGTAGCCGCAGCTGCGGTGCTACCTCAGCAGCATGGATGCCTGCACGTGCTGCAGCGAAAGAGTGAAGAAAATTGCCTGGGACATACAGGCCACAGACAGAAGTCTTAAGGCAAGTGGAGGTGGCCAGCTTCTCAAGAGCAGATGCGCCCTCTTGATTAACGCCAGCCATCCTGCGCGCCTCAGTCGCGGTGAGGAGAGGAATGTCTTCTAGGGGCAGGGTGGCGACAGAAGTCCCCCCCCATGGTAACTGTATAAGAAATGTGGCGTTGCATGGTCTGTCGCTGCACTGAAATTGCGGCGGACTGCTGCTCCGAGTTCGAAGAGCCGTCACCTCTTCATTGAGGGCACATATTACACTCGTCGGGGAGGCCGCCGGCCGCACAGTCGCAAGAGATACCATCTCTTCCTCCCCCTTGCCAAAGAAGCTCTTACTCAGAAAGGAGACAAGAGAGACAGCGGCCACGACAACAGCGGCCGCAGTGCAGAACGCCCAAGTTGAGCCGGAATATTGGCTGGGATACCGCAGCACTTTTGAACGTCGAAAGGGTAACCTATGGCACAAATTGAAATGCAAACGTGAGTTTCTACAGGCAAAATCTATTCTTGAGGAGGCGCCGGACCCGTATCCACCAGATTCGCGCGCATGCCTTCGTCACGGGCGCATGCAGGAGCGGGCCCCTCTGTACTCGGTGGGCATGCACAGTAACAGGTTATCTCACGGTGTTGTCCATCTTCCTCTTTCAATTCCAGCACTTCTAATTTTGGCCCTTGCCTCGAGAATCACTGTGCCCAAGCCTTCTACTCTCCACCGAGCACACACTCAGTCGTTGTTTCACGCTGGCAAGAGCCACCACTCATCGAATGGCCATCCCACCTGTTGAAATCCTCAGGGATACAAGATATCAAATGTCTCCATGGAGTGTGGTATTCGAAAACCTTTAAATCGCCTAGGCGCAGCGAATGGGCGGAGACGGAGAACGGCCCCTTCGTCCTCGTGATATTCGAGTTCCCGGATTCCCGTCAATTCCAGTTGCAGACGTACCACTAGAAGAATTGCTGGCTTTAGTGGCGTAAGGATTGGGTCATACGAGGCTGAAGGGGGATTCAAGGGGAACACACAACAGTACAGAGGGTCCCCTTCAGTTGGTACGCCGAGGCGGGGTGGAGCGCTCCACCACCTCGATTGCCCCATTTCCTGGAACCCAAAGCGAACCCACGGCATGTTTTTATATGCGGGCTTGTGTTTGAAATCCTCCGAGGGCTGGACATAGCAGCAGAACACCCATATTCCAGGTGGACATTGCAGGCCGAGGAGTTCAAGAGCTGTTAAATATCATTGTCTCGAACTCGCGACAGCGCGATAAGAGGGAAGGGGCGGAATCTTAACTGAATCACAAGGCGTGTTAAGCTCGTTGAGTGTCAAACTACGGAAAGCCAGAAAATGGCATTTGCCTTCGGCCGTTCCACGACAGAGTCGGCTAACTATTACTCAAAGCAAAATTCAACAGAACTCCCCAATGGACCTTCTGATTCTGTGTCTCAACTAGCGTGGGTACGCTTGGATTTCCTTTTACAGACTTGTATGTGCTTAGACGTGTGCGGTCTATTGGCAGCAGCCTGTGCGCGGTACAGGGCTTATAGCGTTCCACCGATCATGTACCTGCTTGGTGTTGAATTCATCTGCGATGTTGGTTTGCTTTTCAGTCCCGAGATGGACAGGCTCTTGCTTGTGCCTCATGGGATCGCACCTGCCGTGTGTGGCAAATCACAACGCAACCGGCGGCCTTCGGCACCAATGGCCAAGTCCTTTATAAGGGAAATCCTCAGTCTCTCTTTACAGAAACTGCCCCCGTCCTCTCATGCTGTTTCGGGGACGTAAGTGTATCTCCCGCGCAGGATAGGGCGGTGGCCAGAGACCAGAGCAGAATAGTGCGGTAGGCAGGTTGGTTTCGACTGCAACAACGGCTCCTTCAACTCATGTAGTCACCAGTATTGTTCTTTGGAGGGCTTGCTCACCGATATGTTGCTTGCAGACCACACAGATGCTGCTTACAGCTGGATGTGACAAACAGGTCAAGGCCTATGACCTTATCAGCGGCCGAACTACGGGCCAAGTCATTGGGCAGGTGAGACGGACTCCCTAATTTGGGCTTGGCACAGGGGAAATTTCGGCTAGATATGACAATGCAGCTATTTCCAGTGACCAGGCGCTGTAGGCGCGTTTTTTTGAGTTTGCTGTTGGGGCATCTCGACGTACGTCTCTTTTGCAGCACGAAACCCCCGTAAACTTTGTCGGATGGAATCCAATGCACAAACTAGTCATCAGCAGTGAGTTAGGGCTATGATCTTTGGTTCGAGGGCGCTCTTATTCCTTTCCCTTGCATCTGAGCTAGAAACCACTGCGTATTCATGGAGTTCGCTGTGTGCGTGCATTTGAATTGATCCTATTGGTATTTTGTCATGCTGTGGTGTTGCGATATTGGACGGCCTTTCTTCCGTGAAAGCTGTGGCACCGACACCTCTGGGTTTACCATTTGTTCTGTGAGTGCAGCAAGCTGGGATGGATGCGTGAAAATGTGGGATGGGAAGCAGCCGAACCCAGTTTGGCAACAAAATGTTGGAGCGAAAGTATGAAGTACACAACTGCATGCCTCATTTGGGGATAAGAACTCACGTTATCTGGCCTCACTGTCCTTGGATTCCGTGCTGAACAGCAGCACACTTTTTGTACCAGTTGATTAGCTGTTGAAGTTGTGCCCCTCCGCAAGACGAAACTTGACCGAATGTATGAAACCCCTTCCCATTGATGGGCCCGGGATGGCTGGTTGTTTTTCTGTGCAGATATGCAAGGCAGCTTTCCACGATTGTTTCTTGGGAATCTGTGACACTTTCCACGACTGCGTGATCCTGAATGTTCCTCTTTTGTTGCAACAGGGCCAGTCGGCCTTTGCTGTAAACACTCCGAGTGCCGCGGCAGCTGCCTCCATACCCGTTATTACGAAAACAGGATCTCAGTTCCAGAAAATGCAAACGCGTTCTATTGGGTTTTTTACTGACGACGCTACACAATGTCCAGGGGTGGTGCTTGGAAGCGTAGAGGGACGGTGCAGCGTTCAGCACATAAAAGAGGCGCAAAAGTGAGGCACGATCCGCCATGGGCCATAGCCCGTATATGGAGTGTATTTGCTCAGTAGGCGGTGCTACAGAAGTGAGAAAAGAGCTGCCAAACCGGGCGAATTTAACCTAGTGAGGGTTATGCAGTTGTTCAACCTGTGCGTGACCTGCAGAAATTTGGACTTCAGCTACAGGTGTCACCGCCAAGAAGGTCCGCAGCAGCAGGTCCAGATATTCTCCGTAAATGCGGTTTCGTTCAACAAGCTGAAAACGTTTAGTACTGGAGTACGTCATTCGAAACGTGCTTCATGGGGGCTTAGACGGAAGGGTTAGCCTTCAGTAGGAGCATAGGGACAGCATATATGTGTTGGTGAGATTTGCTCTTGACGGGCTAGCAACATGTGTGTTGGCTAAACCATTTGACTTCAGGGGTCTGATGGCGTTATTATGTGCTGGGACAAAGATTCAAGACAGAAGTGAGTCGATTGCCGTCGTTGCCCTGAACTTGTTTCCAACTGCTATTCGCAGATAGTTCAGAGTCTCTCTCTGCATTCCGTCTTGCTGGATGGCCTTGTTGCACAATCATCGGTGCCAATTCTCGTTTTACATCTTTGTGTACAGAATCAAGACCTTCGAACCTGCGGGTGCTCCGATTGCTGACCTGAAGTATGACCCCACTTCCACAGCACTGGCGTACGCAGTATCTTATGACTGGAACAAGGCAAGTCACCTCCTCCCAATTTGACAGATACGGCTTCGCCCCTGCACACCTTTCTGTCCTGCAGGTGACGCAGGGTAATATATTAAAACATCGCTACTGCTTGCCGCATTGTGTGTGCTTCCAGGGCCCAGACCAACAGGAGCTTGCCAAGGGGCATCACGTTTATATTCATGCGGTGAGGCTTTGCACTGTTTGTACTTTTCCAGTCCACCCAGCAGCACTTACCTTGGGCATTTCCATTTCGCGTGCAAAAGTTATAGACAGCAGGGAGCCCTCCAGAATATGCGTGTTTTGCAGATGAAGGAAGAGGATATTCGCCCTCGGCCAAAGAATAGCCAGCGTCGCTGAACTACAGCTTTTATGGCTTGCCGCCATGCTGGGTTAGGAAGCCCCTCCAGGCTAAACAAGGGTTTGCAGCCTAGGCGGCAGTAAACCATCTGAACAGGCCAACTGAGATTCTGCGTAACAGTTGCTCAATTGGTGGTGCGGGTGCTAAGGGAAGGGCGAACCAGACAACCTTATCTTTGTCACAGACAGCAACAAATGTCCTCCTTGTCACGTTTGAATAAACACACTAAATCGGAACTAAGCAGTGGGTAGAGTGAGTTGGAGTGGCAGAAGCGCGCTGCCGGTTGTTGCGTGTGCTTCCAAAGATCTAATCAACTGAGCACATCACGCCTAGTTTGCAAAGATTGGAAGGTGCAAGAGATAGGGGCTCTTTGCAGGCAGCATTTCATTTAGTCGATATCGCTAGGAACGTAAAGCGACAGCCGTTTACAGAACGTCAAACGGCCTTGTTTGCAGATGATACCCTAAGCGCAGGCGCCTGCACGCGCGCGATGAACCTAGAAATTGATCGGTACACGCATGCCGGGCTAGATGAGGGTCATATTCTTTTACTTACAGCGCGTTGATGTACCAAATCCTGGTTTCGACACCGGGGACTCATCAAATGGGCTGCCTTCAGTTTGCAATTCATCCCGCTGTTTGCACCGCTTTGAAGCTCATGCTCCGATTGCACCTGCATCAGAAAGCGTATAACGGTATTGCAGCTTTTTTTATTTGACTCGCCAAATATATATGGAAGTGTCGGATAGGGGGCACCTGATGGTTTGCTAAACGTCTCTTCACGGAGAAGAATGCGATGGACACGGCGACGCTGTTACTCCAGTTGTTCGCTGATTCCTTCCTGTGGGGGGCCTGGTTGACTACTGTCTGGTGGGACTTGGGGGGGGGGGCACTTCTTATGCCGGTTAACACTCCCCGTTGGACGGATCGGCAGTTCACTCATACGGCACACTAAAGTTGTCGCACTGGCACGTTTACAAGTCACTTCTCTCGCCTTTGGTGATTGCGTCGAACTTTCATTAGTCCTAATGAAGGCTGAAAGTGCGACTGACACACAGACAGCCTGAGATTGCCCTGAGTACAGCGAGCCCATACAACCGCCTACGCTGGTGTATGCCATACAAGAAATCCCACTTGTTTATGGACACCAACTAGAGCCTTGTGAGTTTCGTGGGATCGAGAATTGGTGTACACGCATTATGGATAGTACCGACCGAATGTGCCAGTAATTGCTGCTCCTGTGCAGTCAGGTAGCAAGATATTTTAAACGCACTGCAGCAGCCACCTCAGCCCCCGAGACACTCAGTGGAGGGATATGCAACTCCAGACAATTGAACCGCTGAATCTAGTACGGCTTGAGGGTGGAGGGCTAGGTCAGCTGTTAATACGGAGCTCTTCCGTGGCCAATTTTGACTCCCCTGTAGCTCATATTAGCCCCAGGGTCAGGTCTTGTGTCACACGAAGAGATACAAGAGCATGTACTCGATGATTCGATACTTCGAGAAGATGGTTTGTCAGAGTAGGTATTCCTTATAAGGTATTCAAGAACGGTCTTGCAGTACATACAATACAATTAACCTTAGCGAGACAGCCAACAATACCATACTCCCCAAGTTTGTTTGTGCGCAGCAAGGCTACAGGGATATTAAATTTTCTCTTTAGAGAGTATTTTAATTTTTGCTTCTCTTCTGGTCTTCCGCGCACATTCTACTTAAAAACGCTACTCAAGGTACACCAAAGGAAGACGCAATTGAACAACCTCCGCCAGGGCTCTGTGTTTCCGCGGTGAACGGCCACATTGTGATCCTCCACACCAAATTCTGTTCAATATAAACATTTCAGCTGTACTTATTTTGTACATTCCCTAATTCGTACAATCCCGAACATCCCAGTTGTTTATTTAGTCGCGGTTCTGGGACGCAGCAGCATCGTCGATGCCCTTCTGCCTACGCAGGACGCATGCAGACGACATCTGCCGACTTGCAGGCGCTGAGCTCGCACGGGAGAAGACTCGCAACGAAATCAATATGTGCCTTTCTTAGGACAAGTGGAACAACTGGGTATCGGAAACGTGGACCAAGCGACCTGCCAGCCCCTGTGGACACAATTGCTCCCTCTTCCTCCACATTGCGCAGTGCTCGGTTCCTTTGCTGGGCTAACAAGATTGGCGTGTCCACAGACGTGAACGGCTGGATTCAGTGGCGCCTGAATTCTTCCTATGCACCTTTCAGAGGGCTACTAGTCTCACATGCCGCTGCACAGTCACGTGCTGAGCAGGCGGCGTCTTCTATGATGGCAATGCCAAATACCCCACCCACCTCAACTGCCTCTGCAGATGCACCACCTATTGGGAGTTCGTCTTCTGGAGAAGGAGACCCGCTTGTGCAGTACGTAGTGGTGCGCCGAGACTTGACGGATGCGTTACAGTGGCCCCTGGGTGCGGTTGTGGCTCAGGCCTGCCACGCGGCGTGAGGATCCCTATTAAGAATAAGCACTGTAACGAAGCAGATCCTATGTGCATCGCCCTATCCATGTGGAGATAGCCCTTAACAAGCGGAGCGGGGAGCCAGAAACGATTTTCATATGAAGCTACGAAGTGTTATCGATGAATTAAATGTGGCAGTTGATTTGCAGAGGCATCTCCTGTGCTTTTTCTACATGTACATGTATGTTTATTTTTTTGTGCAGGGTGGATGCACTTGGGTTGGCCATGGATCGGAATGTTGAGGAAGCGCGAAGGTATTTGGCAGAAGGCAGTAATATGAGGACTGTAGTACTTCAGGTTTCAGGCGAAGGCGAACTGCTTAAGCTCAGAGACAGGCTGGTGCAGAACCATATCGAACATAAGTTATGGCAAGAAGAACCGGAAAAGATTCCTACAGCGCTGGCCTCTGTACCGATAAGGAAGAGCGTTGGCAAGGTTTTCAAAGGACTGAAGCTTTTGTCGTAGAATAGTTAGGAATGACCAGTTTGATAGCTACTTTCGGGCAAGCACTGTCACGACGCAACACCTCTGTCGATACCGCCAGAGTCAGCCAGATTCTGTGACAAGCACACGCTGATGGTGTATGCATATGTGGCCTGGGGCAAGTGCCTCGCTGGACCTTGACCTACAGCTACTTATTAGGAACTGCCTGCAGCCGTGTGGTGCTAATCAGGTTCGCTGCTTTAGTTATTTCGAAGACACTGGACTCAAAGTGACTGCTAATTCCTTTTTCGCCCCAAGTAACGTAATTGTACTTGAAGAATTGCCGTTGGATGACTTAGTGCTGCACAGCGGTACAACTCACGGCTGCGTTCTGCACGTGAATGTGAATAGCACTTAGTATTAGGGGACTCCCTTCTTAAAAAATAAATGCTTTTAGAGGCAGAGCGGAGCATTGTAGTTTGTTTTTTGGATCGATGAAAGCACCTTACTGATCCGGTATACAGTGGGGTCCACTCGAGTTTGGGAGGAGCTACTACACATGCAGTGGTAGGGGGGCGATGCATGAAGGTGGAGAGAACGGTGTACAGAACAAATTAGATGGGATTAAACTAACTATTTAGCATTATGTAGAGGTCTTCTTTAAGAAATTCTGGGAAAACCGCTCTGTTCCCCTTCGCCTGTAGGCTGCGTCGGCAGCGCGTTCGATGGGCGCAGGCGGGGACGCTGTTATGTTTGCGCAGTGCTAAGCTTATTTAGATCCTTCGCTTCACACCAGATGCTAACATATTATTTCCAAAACGTCGCGACTAAAAACACTCGCGGACTACCAATGTGGAGGACACTGAGGCAGCGGGGCCCCATTCAGAGAGTTGCTAGGACATCCTTCCGCTCATCAACGAGGATACTTTCTGAATGCCCCAGCAAATATGGACCACAATGTCTACGCGCGGTAGTTGCAAGTACTGCTAAGTCTGAAGCCCATATGTACACAGCCGTCAGCTTACCCGCTGAAAAAGATGTGGGACGTTCCTTGAACAGGCTACATTCTGTCGTGGGTTGCCCTTCATCGACAAAATTGGAAATGACTCGTTTGCCAAGCATTCTACATTTGGGGCCATACTGTAGGAAGTGCCGAAGAGCTTGGCCGGTTGTTGGAAACACTGCGCTGCCGCAGCAACTGGTCCATGCGCGATCTCTGTCCATCATGGACCGATATAACAGAGTTGGTTGGCCCTGGAGAATTCTCAATTAAAGATGAAGGCATTGGAAGTATTTGGGAGTAGATGAAAATATGTGGTTGCTTTGCTGTTGGCCGATGCTGAAGCAGTGAACCCACCGTCAGTTAGCCACTTCAGCAACACTGTCTTTGCTCTCAGGCTCGAAGTGAGCTTAATTGGGGCCCCGTTCTACCCACAACGCCCCCAGAAATGGATGCACAACAACTGGTTTCTCCGCGCTCCCCGAGTAAGCTGGCGGGTTGCAGTTTACTTCGACGACATGTGTCTATTACCAGCTACCCAGGCGTTTGTATTCTTCCAGCCATCAGCCATGGATTGACTCCCCCTATTCGCGAAGTCTGTAAGGTGCATGCGGTTCTGGTTGAGTTGCGGTTTTCTGTTGGGCATACAGTTGAGCCAACAACCACGCCCTCTGCGCCGTCCAGCCGTCCATTTCATCGGCCTGTAGCGAGAGACCCTGTCCCAGCTGAGGTGAGATATGTATTTCAGAACACCATCCGCCGAACAGGCCTAGAAATGGCCTATCTACCTATGTTTCGCGTTCTCACTTGAGGGGACCTCTTGACGAATTGTTAAACGTGTAATCCTATCATTATACGTTTTACTTGCAGGCACTGTTCGCCACGTGGGAACCGCCACTTCAACCATCGCACCCCAGGTCGCTCACTGTAGCTCTCATTGGTCCACCAAATGCAGGAAAAAGCTCTTTGCTAAATGCGTTCCTAGGTGTTACGGTTTCGGCAGTATCTAATAAGGTGAACACTACAAGGTAAGTGCAGCCATGCGTCAAGATGCAATATTTGCGGGTCAGTGGATTCGCACTAGCATTATCTACACACATACGTCTACCCTGTTGGGTGCATACAGGACAGATTTCCGTGGAATGGTGACAAAAGGGAACTGTCAATTAGTATTTGTCGATGCACCAGGTAAGATTCTTGCTGGGTGCGGTGACGAGCGTAGTTTCGTTTGCAACTGAACAGTGTACGAGAACTGTTGGAATTGAAATTTCGGTGCTGGTGTGATCGTATTTGCTTTCTGTTCTATAATGCAAACCTGAGAACATTCTTGGTGGTGCATGTGGGAATGATTAATGCAGGCATTATTGAGTCTCATCCCAAAAAGTCTTTCTGCAGAGATCTCGTGAATGCTGCGTGGAGGGGATATGTAAGGAAATTTAGCACTCTGGATAGCCGTCCGCACAACTTCCTAGCTTGCATGTACCACTACTACGCGACTTAAATGTTTTACGCCTTGACGTTGTTTTAAACAGGAAGACGCGGACTTGGGGATTCTTGTCATTGATACAGTCAAGCGGCCCACACAGCAAATTTTTAATATTGTTCGCTCGATTGCTCCAAAGCCGTGCCTCTCACAGCTTGGATTCCACCACTCAGGCAAGCGTTCGCAATAGTGATGCGTGTAGTAAAGTGGTGCTCTTAATCCTCACAGGCGGTAGGAGTGGCGAAGTAAAATGTCGAAATAGTGCACTTTTTTGACCTTTTTCAAATTGGCCTTACAGTATTGTGGCTTGGTTTTCAGGTCTTTCGGGAATACCGACCTTCCCTACGCGCGCGCACGAAACAATGACAGGAAGCATAGCCTGTTCCCCATCCCTGGATGAAATGAGGAAAGCTGGGATTCCCGGGACAGTGCGCCATCGCCTTGCAAAGACTCACACAGGTGGTGAAGTAGACGAGCATACGCCAACTATCCCTATTCTCCTATGCCTCAATAAGGTACAAATGCCAGAATGCACGCACCAGTAGTAATGGAATGAAGAAAGATAGCACCAAATAACTGCATTAGGCCATCTACCTCTGTGCTCAACTTGCAGATCGACTTGGCGTCTCATCCGAAGTGGATTCGCGCACGTGAAAGAGAGTTTCAGTGAGCGTTAACATCTAGAAAAGATATCAAAGCACTTGTAGAACTGCACGATTGCAACGGTTTCCATTTACTTTATTTGCAGAAGATGCGTCCGTGCGTTACAGGTCACATGGGCTGTTTCGCCGCGTATTCCACGTGTCAGCTAAGCATCGAAGGGGAACAGAATCTCTTCTGGATTACCTTATTAGCGAAGCGGTCCCCCGATCGTGGTCCTTTCCTCCCGAGATGGTACATCAATGCCATGAAATTTGTACTTCGGTTGTCGCACCATATTGCTTCATTACGTGACACCGTCACTGACTGTCCTTGTGTGATGGCATGCGAAAAATGCAGCGGACAAGCCTTTCAAAAGTCCAGCAGATCGAGGAACTTATCAGGTATATATGTCGAGTCCCTACGAACAAGAAACCTCCCCAGTTGCCACATTAGCTCTAGAACTAACCTGGTTTTATGTTTTTTATGTTTCTGCTCAACTGATCAGGACATATTTGTTTTGCTGGTTCAACAAAGACGTCCCATATCGCATTTCTCAGCGAACCGTTGGATGGTCGCAGCAGGAGGACGGCTCAATTGCAGTTGAGCAGGTAACTCATCGGACCGTATATCTATCTTGGTGTGGAGGCAGTTTCATCGTAGACTCTTAGATGACCTGCATTGCATTTCATTTGCGCTGTGCAAAACAAATTGTTGCAGGAGCTCGTGGTCAGGACTGCGCAAGTTGCAAAGATGATTTGCGGCGTTAGAGGCCGCATTCTTTTGCAGATGCGGAAAAATGTCACATACAAGCTAGAACAGTTGTGGGGTTGCATAGTTCACCTAAACATTTTTGTTAGGGTTGCTAACGACTAACTAGGCTCTCTAGTGCTTGGTGGTGACTAAAGGTTATTTGTTTTTTTCAGCTGAGTGCATTTCAGCCCAGTTGTGCCCCAGCGAAACGAGATTACTTAAATAACAGGTTTGCAAACCCACAGTGGGTTTGTTTGCCCATCGGAGAGTTACTGTTCGACAGTGTAGCTCTTCATCATGAATGTGTTCAATGAATAGTAGATTCCAAGAACAGAAGCAAGGTAAACGCCACCCAACGTGAGGAGGATGGTAGCACTCCAACTCAGGCCTGTAATGCCAATCAAATACATGGTTCTGCAGAATACAGCAACTGTAGTCGCAATCTCTTACCAATGGGAGCGCGGGGTAAGTGACGGTTCACAAGTTCTACTCCCGTTGCTACAGCTGCAGCTGGAGAACCAGTCGACAGGAACACGTGATTCATCGAGCGCTGGATGTGTGTTTTGAACAGTGCGCTTGCAACACGGGTATCCACATTTTCTGTTAGATGACGCAGTTTTTCATAGAGCCTTTTAACAGCAGTGCAATTCAGCCTTACCGCGAGTGGCGAGGCTGACGGTCTTGAGGTTCTTGACGAAGGCCAAAACAATGCCATCGTGACAGCCCTTATTGCCTACACCCCATCGCCTGATTACCATATGCTTCATGAATCCTCCCATGTCATAGAAGATATTTGCAGTACCTCAACAGTGCTTCAGCAAAACGGTCGGTGGCCTGTTGTGGGGTCTCATCGGCGTTCACCGCAATATCTGAGGCGACGGCAACGGCAGCCTGCATTCGAATATGTCGAACTGAATTTGAGCTGAGCTTGCAACGGGAAAATACTGACCTGGTAATAGTTCTGGGAGTCGTTGCACGTGCTCTGGGCGGTGTCGCGCAGCTTCAGGAGGCGTGCCTCAACGAATGCTTGCTCCTCTGGTGAGAGCAAGTGATCGGGATCACAAACCCAGGAGTGCGAGAGGCTACAGGGCAACGTTTCAAATTAGTGTGGTAATCAGTTGGCAAAGATGCTTAGTTACAATTACCTGGAGAAGGCAACACATTTCTCAGGTTGCTCGAACGGGCTGGGAAAAGAAGTTTCGGTGTGCAGTGCCACATCAAAGGTCTCGTCCAAATGCCTGTTCGATCTCATATAGAATGCGTCAAAGGAAGATTGTAGGAAGCGTCGTCTTACGTTCTCTGGGCTTTCCGCAGAGGGGGTTTTCCAGTGGCTGGCCACCATGCTTCCGAGCTAGACTCCTCAAATGCGGGTGCGGCCGCCACAAAGCTCTTGCTGAAGCGGAATGGCTGCCCCATTTGGGTATAACCATCGGCAATGGCCTTCGACGAGACACGAGAGACCTGGGCGCCAGAGATGGCGACGAGGAAAAGTGACTTCCACATTTTCGAAAGGTTTGTTTTTTAGAGGCAGTGGAAGAACGAAGGACGAAAGTCTGAAAGTAATGGCGCGTATTCAGACTGTTCGGTATGCTTATGTTTTCGGGTGAACGTACACCGGAAGACACCGCTGCCTGCCAGTGCTCAACACTTTTTATTTTTGAGTGCACATTCGGCGGCTTCGTGATCATGCACTGATTGCTCGAGCGCCGGATTTTTTTTGAGCATATTTCGACTAGCCCGTTGGTTCATCCAAAGCCATTTACCTGATTCAATGCCATACAACTCCCATGAAGTACGACTTCAGCTGATACGCACATACCATATATAATTACATCCTTGAAAAACCACCTGTGATTTTCACATGCAGTTAAAGGCTAGTTTGGTCCAGTCTTCACATCGTGGTTCACCGGCAGCCGTCTGTGGGATGTAGCAGGATCGTTCTGCTCATTAGTGAATGAAATTGATTTTGACCTGCTGAGTTGCACGTAATTAAAGTTTACTTTCACCTTTTAAATTATATCTGCGTACACATGAAGTGTACCAATTGGTGAATAGTCTTCGTTACGCGGGCAAAGGAACTTGTAGCCAAGCTTAGCACTGCCGACCGCTGCACGTGCAGTGTGCAAAGCTACAACAATTTCTCAGGAGAATCTTCGCCTTTCCTTCTTTTCGAAACTTGGCTATTTAACAATTGGATACGACAAAGCATGAGTAACAAAGCAGCTCTTCAATGTTGTTCAGGGTAGACAACCAGCGCTCTCCAACTGGATGATGTTTTTTCGCTTTCTGCTGTTGAGTTCAGTATCGTACCGAACGCGTCCCCCTTACCACGCGGAGAAACATAGTTTGAACACTAGGAAGGATTGCTGGAGCTATCTGGAACTGGCCAAAACCAGTATCCGTGCAGGGACACTTGGCCGACACTCCGTGAAATTCCAGCAGAAGTGGGCTTATTTGGCAATGATATGGCTTGACCAGAATCTGCACAACTCCAATGGGCTTCAATACTTTTGTAGAAGGCTCTATGGGGGGAGAAAACCTTGCATTTCTTGCGGCGGCGGATGAACATGCCTCTACCGGCCCAATCAGAGATGGAACCTCTGCTTGCGCATTAGACGCGAGCTCTGGAGGATGTGTTAAGTCCCCTGAAGAGGGGAATGTTGCATGGCTGGACAGATTCAGGGATGAAGCGTGCAGTGTTGTTCAATATTCCAACACGTCGGCAATCCCCCGAGTAAGTCCGAATCCTGCTTTTGCGCTGGCATGGGTTTGTTGACCTGAGTAAGGTGAAGTATTCAGAGAAATGGAATATTTGGTGACTACTTTGTGAGAGTTTCTGACCTTACGTTTGTTCAGCCAATCCGTACAGCCTTCAACGTGTGCGTGGTCAAGAGTGGGCTCAGCGAGGCCATCCCCAATGCAATTACGACAAGTAGAAAGACGCATGTTGAAAGGTTTCATTCTATCGTGAGCACCTCAGAGGTTAAAGACGTCCACTTAGGCAACAGTGAGACGCAGCGTGCAGAAGTTGAAGGCCAGGAATTTACTTCCATTACTGACAATGGTGCGACCTCGTGGGGACTTGAGGCGCCGATCCACTTTGAACATGCACGCTCTCTGCAGGAGCTAGCTCCAACCGTTTCTGACAAGTCTTTTTCGTTTGAGACAAAATTGCCGTCTTCCGTTCAGTTGGGCATCTCCTACTTCGAGTCTATGCCTTACTGCCTTTTGCCTCTCGGCGTGGGCCTCGGGATAGTGGTGGTCTTGTTGCCTCTATTTTTGTTGTTGTTCTGCCTTCGCAACTGCAGATGCTCACAAAGGTACGTGGAATAGCTCATTTAGTTGTTTGCTGACGTACGCTCCTGTGCAGCTGTTGCGTGTTCGGAATACTGAACTGTATATTTTGCGGGTGGCTGTTGAGCAGACTGTGCAGTTGCTTCTGTTGCCTTCGGATCTTTTTCAAGTCGACAAAGCGATATGCGGCTGAAGTGGAAAGATGGCAGTCGAACGGCAGCAGCACTGGGCCCTCGGGTTCTCAGTACCGAGGTAGCGTGCGGAAGTTGGTTCCGCGGAGCTCATGTTTAGGCGTGAGGTACCTCGCGTTGATTCTGGCATTTTGCACAGTTGCAGCGGTGCTTAGTGTGGGGATGTACGTCCTGGTGGATATGGGGGCGCATCTCTCGCAGGTGGCCTGCGCTGCTGGCCAGGCAGTTTCTACCATCATTAATGGGCAGACCTTCGCTCATCCGTCGGCTGCATCTGTCCCCAATTCAGCCGTTGTGCCTTTGTCTTCGCCTTCCTTTTCTTCCACTCTCTTCACTTCCACCTCCCCTCCTGCAGCCATTGTAATTAATAACGCACCCCCCTTCTCCCCTTTTTTGCAATCAGCTCCGCCCGACACCACAACAGAGCGGTTCCCTTATTTGGGAGAAGCAAGTAAGTTATTAACAGCACCTCACGCTGAAATCGTTGGTCCGAAATGTCGTTATGCTTCTTTTCACTGGATGCGATGGGCTTCCTGCTAACCAACTAGCCAGATTTATTGGTGGGTTTTAGCCAGTGGCTGCTGCTCTGTAGTTGCAGATCCTGCCTTTCCACGGCTGCTGCAGCAAGATGATGCGGATCTAACTGAGGACACAACTGCTCCCAAGAGGACAGGTTTCCTTGGAGCTGTCCCAGCGCTAGTCTAGTAAGTCCCGTGCGCTTCAAATTATCAAAGAGGTCTCTGAAATGCAGAGAAGAAGCTGCGCTTCTGCTTTCAACTATCAAAGGGAGCAGACAAACAACGAAATCTGATGCAGGACTTGCGTTTGCATGTTGCGGTGCTGTGCCTCTGCAGCTTCAAGACCCTTATCTTGGCGCTGGACCCCGACGGGGACAATTCGCTGGCGAAAGAGCTTCGTATGGCCTCCAAAGTGGCTTCACGAATTAGCCAAAAGGTCGCAGACATGCGGATCAATCTTCAGGCACTCAAGAAGGTGGGTGGTTGTCGGGACTGCAGCTTTTCTTCATTTTCTCCTAAGCTGTGGGAGGGATGTCACAGACTTCATTTCAGTTTGCAGCACTCGGGTATTGGTGTTTTTCAATGTGGCCGTCCTATTACATTTGCCTGTAAGCAGCATTCGACTTAAAGCTCTCATGTTTCAGTGCTTTAAAGGTGATTAGGTTTCTTCTTCTGGTGTGTTTCTACGGCCATCATTTGTGAATTTGGATGTCAGACACTGTATCGGCCGGCAAACAGCGGAATGGCAGTGTCGTCGGAGCCTTCAGATCATGAAGAGGCGACGTATCATCTCTCTCCAGTGTCTGTTGCCTCTCCGTCACTGCTAAGCGCGTGGGAAACCACCATTCATCTGCTTCCTTCTACTTTCTTTGCTATAGCCGAAGCTTCTGAACACCTTGCAGCAGAAATAGAGGCGTCTATGCAGCAGACCGACGGCCTGCTAGCTATAAAGGACATGCAAAAGGCGAAGGATGTCCTCACCCAAACCCTTAAAGCTGCCCATCCAACTGTAGAGAAAATTCCTAAAATCGGCACCCCTCTCTTCTGGGTGCGTACTGCTGTTAGCGCATTTCTTGCTACTGCTGCCCTCTCGTTTTGCGTTTTCTTCTTCTGTTGCCTCTGTTGCTACAGCTGTTCTTTCGTGCGGTGCTAACAACTGTCTATGCAGTGGGAATGGGGAAGAACTTGTCCTCTTTGGGTTATGCGGTTGAGGATTCTCTTCAGGGTTCTATAGTGACATTCAGTCTGATGGGCGTGTTGGTGCTCCTGGGCTCCTTGTACTTGTGCTGCCTGTGCTGCTGCAATCGGGAAGCCCTCGTAGACCGCAAGGCCACGAGCTGCGGCTGTTCATTTCTGCTGCTGCTCGTCTCTGCTGCAGGTGGGGTTTTTGTCCTGGGCTGGTTCAGCAGCAGACAAGACAGCCTTTTAAGCCTTCTCATATTTGGTTAATAGTGTATATATTA